AGAGAATTTTCAATATTGATTCCGACCTCAGACCAGGAAGATGAAGAATAATGGATAAGTATGGAACGCAGACTATAAGCTGTTGAGAAAGTAGGAGTTTGGAATAAAACGTATTCAATAACCTAGAAACGCAAAAATACAACAAATAACTAAATAAAATGTAACAAATATTAACGAAATCAGTGTAGTTACCTAAAAAAAACCATGACAGAAGAATAGAATATCAACCACATGGCTTTTATTATTTACGGATTATGGACTAAACCTAACATTTATTTAGGCTAGCAATTATCTCTGGCCTGATGAAGCACCAAGAACACGAATCACATGTAAAAAGGGATCATAGAATCCGAATGAATTTAATTAATTCATCCATTCATTAACCATATAAGGATTGTGTATTCTATCGGATTAAGATATGAAAAGTAAATCCATACAAAGAACCAAATATATGTAGGCAATCAATTGATTTAATTACGACGGATGTAATCAAATATGTAGTTCAGAATAAAGAAAATATGCATTATCAATGACATGTCACATTCATGACCTAAAATAATAAACGAACTAACTTTAGATAAATTTCCAAACACAAAGCTCAGTTAATATATCCCTAAATTCATGATGTGTTCTTTATGAAGAAAACGATAAGGGAAATTTCATTAACAATTATACCAGCAAGTAGTTGTTTAAAGAACTTGAGTATGAAGTCTAACGAAAAAAATATAAGATACCTCAGTGTCTCCTACAGGTACCAAATGGTATCTACGGGATAATTCCTTATACAACAAAAAATATCAACATGCTAGTGATACAGTAATAATCCACCATTATCAATGTATATATATATATAGCGATTCTCTTACCTCATCTAATTGTACAAAATGCACATAAGAATATGAGGAACTATTTCTATTACTTGTACCATTAGACTGTGAATCTTCCGGATAAATTGTTGAAGGTACAAAGAGTAATTTGTGGTTTGTAGTATGTGAATCAGTACAACCGGACTCTATATTACAGTTTGACAAGATTAAAGCTGTTAAAAATCCGACAAATTGAAATTTACTTTCTGTAAATACCCTATCCAAAAAAATTTCTGGTGAAGAAATGAATTCTGTAATAGATAAGTAATCAATATTTATGAAACTTTTCCAGTCAATAAATGAATTATTAGGATTGGAAGTGTATGTTGTTTGATTTTTTTCGAGTTGGGTATTGATTGTTAAACAAAGGAGATTGTCCAGAAGTACTTCCATTAATTCAGAATTTACAGCTAAATAAGGTATTCTAAAACTAACGAAAAGTAAAAGACAAAATATACATAATGAAGCTGATAATCTTTTTAGGTAATTATTATCATTAATATTATTACTGTTTAAAAATATAAACTTTGATACAAAGGTGTACGAAAGTATATCTGCACTAGAAAATAAAAGAGTTTATGAAGAGAAAGAAAAAGAAATACGAATGTAATAAAAAACGACAAAACTGAATAGAAAAGAGAGTATGAAAGTGAAAGTAATGATAATAATGATAAAAGGAGCCAATGTGGGTCCACAGCAAGCCCCAAGCCTGGATAAAGGTGGAACGTTGGGCGTGGGGTTAGTGACCCCACACCTCGTAGAAAACTGACTCGCTAAAAAACGCTGACCGGAAAAAAATAATTCAAACTATTTAAACTGTACCCTGGGAGTTGGAAGGTCTTCAATCAGAAGACCCATGACGTCTCATGATGAAATCTGCATTCTTTTGGGAATCACAAGGTCGATGTCCTTTACCACAACCAGAGTGATCACCAGCATAGGTAGTCCGACCATGAAGAACAAAATGCCTCACACACACAAGGAGTTGGACTGATGCTGTCCAAAAAAGCACAAAAGCCACTAATAGGATGGGAATCTCATAGAACCAGGATCATAAAAGCATCCTTCAAAACAAAGAAAGAGGCCATTACTATGAACCTCATAGAATGCTATGCCCCTACCAAGCACTACAATGACGACGCTAAAGATCAATTCTACGAGAGGCTGCAGTCAATCGTCGACAGATCCTCATCAAAGGATTTGAACATTCTGATGGGTTTCAGCGGATCGCACCACACAAAACCAAACCGACCATATCAATAAAGAGTTCAGAAGGACCATGGAGAAAGTGAAAACCAAGAGAGGAGCTGATATAGCCTCCGATCACCACTTGCTAGTGGCCAAAATGAAAATGAAACTCAAGAAGCACAGCATAACAGGACGGACAACACAAAAATTTAAGATGGTATTTCTTCAGGATACTAGCAAACTCAATGAATTCAAGATAGCCCTCAGCAATAGGTTCCAGGCCCTTCATGATCTAGTCAATGGAGAGTAAAACTACCACGGATAACAACTAGAAAGGGATCAAGGAAACAATAACTTCAGCATGTCATGAGGTTACGGTCCATAAAAATCACTGTCACAATGAGAACGGATCACTGTTGGTACTCTAGTAGGATTCAAGAAAGGAAGAACAAGAAGGCAGAAATCAATATCAGCCGAACAAGAGCAGAGAAAGCCAAGGCACAAATTGAATACACAGAAGCAAACAAGAAAGTGAAGAGGAGCATCAGAGCCGACAAACGTAAATATGTGGATGACCTAGCAATGATACCAGAAAAATCTGTAAGAGAAGGGAACATGAAACAGTACGATATAACGAAGAAGATCGCTGGAAACTATCGTAAACCAGAACGACCAGTAAAAATCAAAGACGGCAAAGTAATCAGCAACACTGAACAACAGCGAAACAGGTGGATGAGACACTTTGGAAAACTCCCGAATCGACCAGCCCCAACGAACACACCGAACATGGAGGCAGCACCCACGGACTTCCCAGTCAATGTCGGCCCACAAACAATTGAGGAGATCAGCACAGCCATCAGACAAATCACGAGCAGCAAAGCAGCAGGACGAGACAACATTCCAGCAGAGACACCGGAAGCAAGCGTAGCAGCCAGTGCAAAGATACTCCACATCCTCTTCAGTAAGATTTGGGGTGAAGAACAAGTACCAACAGACAGGAAAGAAAGACAACTCATCACGATACTAAAGAACGGTAATCTCAGCAAGTGAGAGAACCACACGGGTATCGACCTACTATTTATACCAGCAAAGGTACTCAACAGAGTGTTGTTAAACACAATGAAGGACTCCGTAGACTCCTAACCTTAAGATCAACATGCTGGATTCCATAAGGGTCGATCGAGTACCAACCAAATTGCAACATTACGGATCATTTTTGCACAATGAATTGAGTGGGATTTAGCACTGTACATCAACTACGTTGACTGTGAGAAAGCACTTGACAGTTTGGACAGGATGACATTAAGGAAACTTCTTCGACACTACGGTGTGCCTGAGTAGAGAGTCAACATCATACGGAATTCTTATGGTGGATTAAACTGCAAAATCCTGCATGGAGGATAGATGAGAGACTCGTTCGTGGTGAAGACCGGTATCAGGCAAGGTGGCCTACTCTCACCCTTTTTCTTTCTTCTGGTGATCGACTGGATCATGAAGATGGCAACATCTGGGGAGAAGCACGACATACAGTGGACAGCCAGGACGCAGTTGGACGAGCTTAACTTCGCAGATGGTCTGGCTCTTCTATTGCACACGCAACAAAAAATGCGGGAGAAGGCGGCCAGTGTAGCAGCAGCAGCAGGTCTCAACATGCGTAAAGGGAAAAGCAAGATTCTGCGATACAACATAACATGCACCAACCAACCAAATCACACTTAACGGAGAAGCTTTGGAGGATGTAAAACCTTAAAATATCTGTTCAGCATCATTGACGAGCAAGATGGATCTGATACAGATGTGAAGGCGCGGATCGGCAAGTAAAGGGCCGCATTTCTACAGTTGAAGAGCATTTGGAACTCAAAAAAACTATCAACGAACTACAAAATCAGAATTTTCAACACAAATGGAGCGAGGACTTGGAGAACTACAAAAGCCATCATCCTCAAGATGCAAGTGTTTATTAACAGTTGTCTATGCAGAATACTTCGGATCCACTAGACCAGATACCATCAGCGACAATCTACTGTGGGAGAGAACAAACCAGATTCCAAAGGAGGAGAAAGTCAGAAAGAAGCACTGGAGGTGAATGGGACACGAGGAAAGCACCCAACTGAATCACAAGACATGTCCTCAATTGGAATCCCCAAGATCGAAAAAAAAGAGGAAGACAAAATAACACATAACTCTGAGAAATGGGCACAGACATGAGAAAAACGAGAAACGATTGGACAGAACTGGAAAGAACAGACCACGATAAAGTAGGTTGGAGAATGCTGATCGGCAGCTTAAGCTCCATTAGGGGTAACAGGAGTAAGTAGGTAGGTAAGTACGCTCAGTTAAGAACAATACAACTAGAAAGGATCCTTTCAGTCGAAGAAAGTACTAGCATTTGTATAAAGGTAAAAGAAAGTTACAGCAAGAACGCTACTGGCTTCTTTTTTGAGCCATATCTGTTAACATCCCTAGAATCCCAACCAAAAGTGAGTGTAAGCATAGAATCCTGACAATCCTGTAAAAGTACTTTGCGATTACGTGAAAAGCACATACCATGCCTACAAACAGTGGCTGCCAACTGATCAAGTTCCGACTTGGTTATCACCAAACAGTAAGAAAGCATCACTTGCAAGCTCAGGTTCGAGAAATCTTTCTCCACGTAACAGATCCACACTACTAAAACCTATATTCATCAGAGTCGCCTAACCTCATTGCTTGAATGAAACAATAAAGAGAGGTGGTTTCATGCTCTCAATCTACCTGAGGTGTTTGTATATAGGGTTTTCAAGATATTGGTAAACTTTCCAGGCACACATTTCAATAGAGAATCTCAGAGAAGTCTCCTGCCCAACGAATGAATGGCAGAGATGTAAGCTCATACTGTGAAGGTTTTACTACGTAGTAGTAGAATATTATGCCACTCAATAACCATAAAGCAAGTTCGTACATTAAACTGTAGACCATAACCTATTGTGTAAAGGCTAATTATACTATTCAGTTATCCACTCAGTCTTCATCTGCCAAAATTACATTTAACATCATTTATCACCGAAATACGTATCGAAATATACCGATCTGTTGAGACATATTCATTTCCAGCTTTTAGTTGAATCAAAACTATCAATCACTACTATTACTACTTGACAAAATGTTTGTATTTCCTTATTGTAACCTACTTCGTTGGCTAGAAAACTGGATTTCGAGGCCTTACGGTACCAGGCAGGTCATTGAAAGTAGTAAAACTGAAATTAGCAAATTTAGTGACGAAGTTACTCTTCTGACAATAACAAAGTGTAACGACAATAAATTGTTTTCCACGGATACCCATCATCTCCAGCTACGCCACTTTATACGAAACGTTAGAAGAATCTATCTTAAAAACACTAAAATCCACCTGAAAACGGTTTCTGGTGTTGAAGGATGAATTTTAAGAAGAAATAGGGCATTATGGAACTAAAAGTGAATCGTTTCAAATATTAAAGTTTTCTATCGGCCTTAAACATTTAAGCTCACGAGTCAACCGGATCAGTAAAACTGAGCCAACATCCTTAGTAGGATCGTTCTACAGTAAATATTTTCCTGTGATAAATAGAGGGGAGGTTTCAACTACTCAATTAACTACAAAAATACTTCAGATTATCCATTAAAACATAAATCTACCTCACCTTTCAACCTTTATCATCAACTCTCCGTCACTAGCTTCATCCTCCGAATACGCAACTACTCAAGTTTATAAAATGATATATCTGATAACAAGAAACAATACTCTAAACCATACGTTGAACTCTCTATTTTACATACTGTGCAAGATCGTAAAAACGGATTTATTAGCTGAAACTCTAGAATCTTGTATTGTGAGTGAGTGTTTCTCAGAGCTCCATAAAGGACCCATATATTGTTATCCACTTTATAGAGAGATTCTCATGGATGTAGTCTGAAACGTCATGCAATACTGTATTAAATTGAAGATGATAGTCATTTACACGCCATGCAACTGAACGATAGTGTATAAAATAGAGAGAAACAGAACAATGAATTGAGAATTTGTGGTTTTACTTGACTCGAATCAAGAATAAATAAAGACGAGTTCCATAGAAAGCAACCCGATCTTTTCCGAAGTTCTGTATGACTAGATCTAGCTATTGTAATGAGTGACTTTTAAACGGGGCTTTTGAAAGTCTATCTCACGGAACATATCAGGAGCCATTTATTGGAACAAGACTTAGTTACATGCATAAATGCACGACAAGATCTATCAATATTAAGATACAAAAAGTTGATAAGATCTGAATATTTAAAAATGCTACGCTGATTGCATTTTATGTACAATTACTATAAATGAACATCACTAGAGAAAAAGAATTAACGAATAACTTGATATAATAATGATTATATACAGTATAAAAAGTGATAATTTTACCGAGATGATATTGCTAGTCCAGAAAGAATTATATTGCTTTTTTCAAATATATTACCATTACTGCAGCGTAAATAAGCCAAAACTTTTATTGGTTTTTGCACTGTGGAAATTGATGATTCATGTTTGATTTGTTCATAACATTCTAAAAGCTCGTCAACAGTATTGTATATGAATAAATAAATACAATATTCTGCTGAAGTATCCAAGTGATTAGCCTTAAGATTTTGAAACGAATTTGGTGTTGGTGTCAAATTTTCTTGTACTGAATCAGCGGTTGGACTGTAATCTTTGCTATTATTATTATTATTATTACCAGAAGTGACAACCAAACTGCTTCCCAATGGACTACTATTTGGGGCAGAGAACGCTGACATATGTGATGCTGTCAGAGAAAAATGAGTGGGTTGAATCGTCAGACCATTTTGGGGAGGATTAGGTGGATCTGAGTAGAACTGAGAAGAATCAGGGAGAATGGGTACTTGATTACAGCGAGTTCTAGAAGAATTCGAAAGAATTACGACATGAAACTGACGTCCATTCTGATAAAGTAAACAAAATAAAACACAAATGTCACAAAGAAAGAAAGTGTATCATTCTTAAACAAATTATTCAATTTGGAGCTGAAAAAAAGATACTTTGTTCAACAGAGAAAAATGATAAGTATATGAACTGGTATGACACATGCATACAATTAATCAATAAATTGATGTGAAACGTATACCAAATGACCCATTTGCTCTAGTAATTCCCTAATGATGGAAGTATAGATCAAAGTGAACTTCGAGATTGCCAAGAGAATTGTCGGAATTTACAAACGTATAAAAGATAATCAATTACCAAAAACATATATTTCTATATAACTGAAAAAAATTATGTAATGTATCTTTAGTATCAGTTTAGACAGACTATCAGCAAAATACCCAGAAATACAATGGACTCAATTATGACAATAGTACAGTATTGAGTGAAAGCTTTTAAACTATAAGAGACAAGTTTTTATGCATATCTTCATACTGTCAGCGATTCAAGTTCATCCTGGACTCAGTGTAAAAACAATCCCGTAGAAATTATCTGGTGTAAATGTATGAAACAAAATTTAGGATTAAGGTAAATAATGTTCACTAAATTTATAATTTAAATTTGAAAACTCTACAACTGAGCATAATGGATTTGCGTTCCAACCAGTAGGTGACAAATTCAAACCCTACTCCAATTACTTCGGTTTTACACAGCCTAGCAGCATCTTCAATCCTAGTAAAAAAAAGCGAGTGAATAAACCAGTAAAGGGAGTTGCATTAAGAGTTTGATTACATGTGAATAAGAACTTTCGACTTTATCATTCAAATGTAATCAGTTTTTGATGCAACTCACTTACCAAGTACAGTTTTATTTACACGACCTTGTCAGTTTTTGTAAGAGCTGGAGATATTGCCAGGCTGTTAGACCTAAGTAATTGAAACAGCTGTTAAATCTGTGACCTTTTGGTTGAAAGCTACGTGCCTTAATCCACAGGATACTGTTCTAACAAACCTAATAAAAATTGAACTAGTTACATAATTCACAACAACAAAATTATGAGGCAAATAAAAATAGTTTAAAGACAGCGGAAATAAGTTATTATTAGTTGTATAAATATTCAGTTAATGAATAACTTTAGAAAGAATAACATCTATAACATATAATTTCCCAGGTAATTGTTTTTAGTAAAGTTGGTGATATAATGGGACTATCGAACACACTCATTATTCATATTTATAGTGCATAATTAGTACACACTTGTAGTGCTGTATTTTTATACTATTGTATTTTTAATCTTTTGATAAACCCATAAATCGTCGTCATGTCTAATCGTTACACATTTATCAATAATTATTTCCTAATTACTCCAGTTTTGTATTAGTAATGTATAAGTTACGTGCATATATCAACTCTTTAACTGTGTTATTATATGGTCAGTCATTTCAAGCATACTAATGCACAGGTTTTCGACATTGGCTGAAAAAATATAACTGATGTTCTTATTGTCTTCGTCTTTTGACTGATCATTGGGTTAAAAACTGGGGGAACAACTAGCATTAATTTTATGGTTATTGTTCATTGGTGGATGTTTCAATTGGTAAATGGGATACAAGTACTACAGACAATATAGGTGAACTAAATGATACTCGAACTAGCTTTCTTGTTATCACGATCAAATAAAAAGCAAGTAATCTATTTTTCCCCGATACAGCAGTCGGTTAGTTGTTAGTAGTGGAATTAGGAACACGTTTTGGCCTATTTAGGACTCGTCATATGAATATACTTGCACAGTACCTTTCGCTTTAAACGCCCATTAACTTGTTTGCTAAACTATTGAGTCTGACTGACTCCAGACAATCATTAGCTTGTGCAGCGAGTATGTATTTGATTTCTAAGTGCTTAAATATTCGCGTTGTTAATGTTAAGGTCTAAGATAGGTCGATCACTTGAAATATTAGATCCTTGAGAAGATTTTCTCAATATAACCAATCAGCCACAAATATTCTTAGCAAAATTGGTTAGTGGCACACATACTTAAGGGACTTTAGTGATAATATACAAATAATTATAGGTTTGTTAGAAAAATTCCCTTCGTACAAAAAACATAAAAACAGAATACTTTTCAACAGCTTTTCAACAGGTTTTACAGTTAAACATATAAATTAATATTTTAAAAGGATAACGAAGCTTGAGGTAAATACATAAATTACAAGATACGAATTTTATTTTCATAACACTTTTAGTAGGCTCAACACCAAACCTTGAACATAACAAGGTAGTGTTAGTGAGCATAATTAAGACTTAATCATTCTACTAGGACTTAATTCATAGTTAATTAATGGTTGCCAGTCATGAAATTAAATATAAACTTTGAAAATATGTACTATGACAAGGCATGTTTATTTATATCATAAAGATCTACTTGTTGGTTAAGTTCATACTACGAGCATTTCTTTAAAAATATTTGGAGTAACCAATGTTTCACCTAATCTGAGTATGAGTGCTTTCAATTTTGCATTTCTTTAAGCCATAATGTGTAGGCGTCTCTAAATTACTAGATATGAAAATCGCAACACATTGTTCGGTAGACATTTATGCCTACATATTACCACAAACAAACAAGATAATCAATGTGAAATGTGTCTGCACACAAGTTATTGTGATATAAAATTGAACATGATCATAAAGCTAAAATAAATTAAGTTTCTATGAATGTTACCAAAATAAAAACATATTTATTTAAGTTATGATGCTAAAATTGTAAATCAAACTTCATTTGGAAACATAGATCACAACTTTGAAGGTAATAGCCTATTTCTGAAAATAAGTAAGTTCGAGGAAAAATTATCTATTTGTTCGATAACTGCAAAGTATTTGACTTCATGATGCAATGCTAGTCATCAAATACTCTGGATTGTACTCCTAGGCTAATTAAGGTAGATAGAAAACGACTTTTTAGTTAAAGAATACAATACAAACGCATATTAGTTACAAAAGTCTGATGAGTGAAAAAAATTATGTAGGTAACACACATACATGATGGACTTGTGTTTCGGCAAACATAATAACTTTAATGAAACCACAAAGTAAAGTCGTTCTTCCTAATTATACCCTTACAACTGACTTGACACCAGTAAGATATTCAAGTAAATATAAAATAAACAGCAATCAAGTAGTGATCGGGAGTCAAATCACAACATAAATCAAATTTTTGTGATATCAACGAAAATATATATATATATAGAATAAACTGAGATGGACTGTCAATAGATTGTGTAACGATTAGGACAGACTTTTTGTCGAGTTCAGACGAAAGAGGGAATAGAGTTGTGAAGATTACGGCATTACTGAGTGATACTGACTACTGAAAAATAAAAGAATAAGTAAGTAATGCCTTTATGTAAGCAAAAGGGCATAATATACAAGACGAATACATATAGGTTATTCTTTTCTAATACATTATCATCAGCAATCACAGCCACTGACATATACGAACCTCTCAAGTATCCCCAACACATCACAGCAATTGAGTGCAGAAACAGTCTAGCATGAATCTTACAGAAGTACTTTTGGTTTCGGTAGTTCAGAGTATGTGCTGATCATCAGCTGATCAAGTACGTTCTCATAGTCTGTACGTCGCTGCATAGTAAAATGTGATCATCCTAATTATTTAGGTCGAAAACTCTTGCTCCAAGTAAGAGAATTATACTGTAACTATCTCGTGCTTTCTTCAAAGCAGTCCACAGGAATCGTATCATTTAAAGTGAAGTGGAGGATTGGAAAACACTAATTGAACCCGATATTGGTTTGAAACAATGAAGAGAGGCGGCTATACTTTTTCTGAAGCAATTTTGTATAAGGCTTATTTTAAAATATTAATGGACGTGTTTAAAGGACACTCTTCAACAAGAACTTTCGCAAAGTCTTGTTAAGTGAACTGAAGTAGGCGTTTGTATAAGCAAAAACAGCTATTGTTGATTTGTAACATATGTGGTGATGCTTAAACATCTGGTGTGACTAAATCCATTCAGTTTGAAAATCGAAACATTTTGGAACAAAAATCACAAAAATTTTAGAGATATACTTGACAAAACATGATTTTATTATATATGCATTGTAAAAAGCATAATTATTCTAATTTGGCATTTTGTTTTGGAATTCGTCATAGAAAAATGCATGACATGCCCAAAACAATCTGCATAACGAAGAACTTATGTTAATTCATCATTTGTTTGTTTCTTTACGATAAATAAATTTGTAACAAATACTAATTAGTCATATTATTTATTGATCCTAGAAATCACAAAAAACTCAAGAATATATGATTAAGTTTAAATGTTAAGCGGAATTGTCATAATTGATTAGGAATAAGTACGAAGATAATTTTAACAATGCATGCAGAGAGAAATATAGAAGAATGAATCAACAAACAACATTATTCTTGTGTTGCCTAAATAAGAATAATTAAAAAAACCAAATACAAATATATTCTTTTCTCATGGGTACAAATGTCAATTATGAACTTCCTATTGAATAGGGAAGTTAACAAATTAAACTGATTGATCAAGCTTGATTTCTAATAAACCCAGAAAGAAGGTAAAATTAAAATAATTAGATCTCTTTCAAGAGTATTCTATATTATAAGTGAACGAAAGAAACATATTGAGCAGAGATAAAAAGAACAAACTAAATCTAGCTAGCAGACACTGTATGTTTTACAAGTTAATAAACAATAACTATGTCAATGTCACATTAAAGATATTGCAATCTGGTTAACACTTTGAACTTATCATTTTATAAACAAACACATCGTGGTGCAGTTGAAAAGTTGAAAACTACAGATAATTTTTAGTCTCCACAATGCTTATACAACTTTATCAACAATGTTATAGTGCGAGTAAAAATAATACAAATACAGGGTTTGTGAACTATCCATTACAGTGAAACCTCAGTTTGTAACACGAGGATTGATCGCATGTGACCAACTACTTTAAGCACTGATATAATCATATGCATTATTGGATGTAATACTGACTAGAATATGATTAGATTGGAAAGGAACTAAAATAAGCCAGACTAGAAAATATAACTATATAGTGTCATAGAGTCATTTACGGTGTAGATTTCTTTATGCTATTTGCAACTGTGTGGATAATAAGTGGATATATATTCAAGATTATATATTTTAAAATTGGTCACACTAGCACAGAATAATTCACTTTTTATATTCTTCATTGAGAAAATCTTCTGTTTGATTAAATTTAATAACCATATTTTTGCATTGATTTTTTTATGCACTGTTGTAAAGTATAGTAACATGAATTAATCAGCGTTTTAATTCTATGGTGGTATTTTTGTTTCTGTCTGAACAATTATCCGTTTTTAAAGGCATTTTATCTGAAACTGTACACAAAATATTCAGGGACACGAATCACCAATAAACGCTTCATATATATAGTCTGTTAAAGACTATAGATATAATTAGATTTAAGAAACAATTATCCGTTTTTAAAGGCATTTTATCTGAAACTTTACACAAAATATTCAGGGACACGAATCACCAATAAACGCTTCATATATATAGTCTGTTAAAGACTATAGATATAATTAGATTTAAGAAACGTATAGTATTTACCAAAACAACTAGTTGAGTTCTACAAAGATAGTTTAGGTGATCCAAAACTGTTAACAAGAGGAATGATTTTTTTTAAATATGCAGTGTCTTTTATACAAATATTAAAATTATCTACATAGGTCAAACTACCATTGTGTTAGGTTGGTGCAAATATGTAAAATTTTACGATTCTAGAATAAACATGGTGTAACATTAAGAACAGGTATCTGTATAGGTTAAATGATATATATATATATATATATATATATATATATATATGCTATTCTTAAATGCAATTTATCTATTAGGTCTTTTATAAAAAAAAAAAACTCGAGGATTTAATGACCATTTACGATTTTACAGACTAAGAATGCTTGACCTACATTGGTTTAGACAGTAATTTTTGTTTCCGTTACAGTCAACATCATCTGAATAGAAGGACATGTACAAAAAGATATAAAATAACCTGAACATCATATAAATCATTTTTCTAGTAGTTTGGTTCATTTTTAAAGATAAAAAAGACCACAATTTATCCGGTCGTTCGGCTTTCGATGAAAAGTTTTTATATAATAGCACTAATGAACGTGCTAACGTACTTCCTACATAGTTGTAAATGGTTTGAAAAATTATGAATTCATAACACAACGCCGATATGAACTTACTTTATTATTGTAAATTTCTAATGGACAAAGATCTCGCATTGCTTTTGCAGTATAACTAGAGGTATCTGTTTGTCCATGTACATAAATCTTCACAAACGGAGTTCCAGAAGTAATGTGACGAGATAAGTCTGAACATTTAGCGTTAAGTGCTACCGAATTGCGAATTGAAATGGAAGATGAGTTGGTTTGTTCGAAGGAACTTGGACTACATGAACCAGGTAACAGAGGTGGTGGAGGAGTAAGTAGGACAGATGGATCACATAAATCGCTTATTTTTGGTAAAGTTACGTCTTGAACAGAACTATTTTGAGAAAAATGGGTATTTGGAAACGGATTTGCATTCATTTGACAGATTTTCGTTTCCAAGGGTGAATTGGGATTTGTAGTAGGAATGTTTGGATTGTTTCCGCAGATCATCTTGTTTGAAAGAATAAATGAATTCGGTAAGATAAGTTGAGGAAAAAAGATGCAGTGCAATACTTTAATCCGAAAATGAGCACTAAAAGTCATGGAAATACTTTATATGCAATTAGGAATTATAAGCAGTTGTAATTAACTGGAAGTAACAGACTACAAGTAATATATGCACTAATACGACAATGGACTCGGATGGGCTTATTTAAGACAGTAAGTAATTAAAAAACAATGAAATATAAAAAGCCATTTCGGACCCATTTCAATCTTACGAAATTAAATTAACAAGATAAATAGTAAAGGAATCGAAATAGTTCAGCATAAATAATGATGATAGAAACTAAACACCGGGAATATAGTTGGGAAAGATAGAATAGATGACTATGTATTAGGAAGTACTAAAACTCAATATATATAGAGCAAAATACATAGTGAATACACCTGCGCCATAGTGGCCGATTCTTAGGTGACAATCGACGACTCCAAACATTGGGTCGCGGTTGTCACATGGACCCCAACCAGATAGTTTGCATCTACAGACATGGCTCAGATCAACAGTCAATAGGTTCAAGGACTGATGCTCCGTTCTAGATTGGTCGCTTCGAGCTTTCTTTCAACTCACTTAGATACCAGCTAACGTCGCGAAAACGTTTAAGTACCATATATCCCAACCGTTTCGATAAAGACTTTCTATCTGGTGTCTAGCCACAGTAGTGGTTACTTAGTTGTCCCACGACACCCGAACAATGCTTTGACGAAACCTATGATAAAAAACTTGGAGTCTACCAGCATCTTCTACCTAAATAGTTTACGGTTCATAGTCATAGGGAAATAGAAGACGGGGATCTGAAGCAAAAATTTGCACTTAAGAGAGAAAAACCTCTTAAACATGCTCGTATTGTTACTCAAGGCAATCAAAAGACTCCGTATTACATAAGTATCTTCACTAAATAAGACTATACAACCTACGATCTGACTGAACCTCCTTGTAAGAAATCACTTCCAAGATAGTTAGATAGATAATAGTCTAGAACAATAGTATAGAGGACGGAACGAAAAAACGTGCTACACAGATATAATACATAAATGAGAAAAATGTGAGCACTAATTAGAACATAGTCGAACATACAAAGTAGACATTTGAAATATGATGTTGACAGATCATTCGTGAGAAAGATAATAATGATCAGTCAGTGTAAGCATTTGTTGAAGAATGATAACAATTTAAAATGAAAGCACCAAGAAGCATGATACAACAATGAAGACGAAAACATTAATAAAATGAATTTAACGAACCTGTGGTAAGATGATTCTTTCAGGGATTCTAAGTTTGCTATTGTGTTTAGGAAATGTGAGAGATTGTTCAAGTGGGAGAAAATAAGATGCATGTTGAACATTCGGAGACTCATTGATAATAGAATGAACGTTTGTGTCACATGGATTCGCAGCATATTGAATCCAAGGTATGCTAGAACTAAAAAGAAAAACGAAATAGATGAAGGTACTGACGCGGAAACTGTAGTGAATATTCTATGAGAATAAAGAATTTAAAAGATATCCAGAAGTGTAGATAGTTTATATCAACAGTAAGATATAATTAGGACTTAAGTGGAAGTACTGTATACTATGATTTCATGCTAGCTTTTTCATATTGAAACATATTGAAACAATACAATTTACCAGATAACTTTCTGGAAATACCGAAGCATAGCCGGTAAGAGTTGAGGATATTCTTAGGTTATTAGTATTATACTATAGATGTCTTCGGAGCATTGCTCGTATATCCTGGGACAATCGAGTAAGCAATGCTGTCGTTAGGAAACGAGTACTAGGTAGGGATGGCAGATCAATAGGTGAAGTATTGAAACTACATCAGTTGAGGGGTTAGGACGTGTTAGGGATGCCCAAACCAAAGACAACCTCGACGAGCGATGTTTTGTGGTGTAGGAGTAGGTTGGAAGAAACCTACGGTCGGCCGAATCCATGAAGTCACTGGTAAGTGTAGACTACCTGGTTGGGATCAGCGAGACGATAGTTACCGATGATTAGAAACCCTGAACGATATGCCTAGAAATCGTTTGCAATGGCGCAAGTGTATACACTCTTTGTGTTTTCTCAAATTTTAATCTTCTGAATTCCTCATTACCTCTATCTTTCTCTTTCTAACTTTGTAACTGAATTATATTACTTGAATAATTCCTTCGAACCCTAATCTTCTCCATTACCGCTAATCGTCTACTATCTCTACCACTATGGGATTTGAACTGACAATTGCGGCTCTGTGCTAATGTGGTATTGCAAACTGAACTTATGTACGTACGTACGAAGTTCTGCGTTGAAACTGACTGATTGACTCTGGAAATATGGTCGCATATGATAAAGCATAGTATTTTGCTAGAACTCTTGTTCCGTATATATGAAAATAAACGAAACAGGCCTTGATGTTAACAAACATAAAAACAGTTGGTGTGTAACGCTTGTAATATTATTTAGTCTTTAACAAGTTTTGTGTACATTGAATGTCAATATTTCAAACACAACTGACGACAGGCTTATACTAAGAAAATTTTTGCATGCACTATATGGGGTATAGTACGTTTTATCTCCAAACCTTCCGTATAGTAGAAGGTTGGTAGTCGTTTCAAAGGAAGTCATACCTTCAACGAGTGAGGGCGATTTCACAGTATCACCATTTACTTGCTCAAGATGCAAACATTTAACTTCGTTCCAAGGATGATGGACACCTTGTTGAAGAAATTAAAGGACGAGCATATTATTGGCCATAAATAAAAATATTTCAGGTGTTATAGGTGTATAATCGGCTCTTTCCATTGTTTCAATTAGTGTTATCCAATCCCCCATCTCACTTTAAATGATACGATTCCTGTGGACTGCTTTGAAGAAAGCACGTGATAGTTACAGTGTAATTCTGTTACTTGGAACAAGACTTTTCGACCTAAATAATTAGGATGATCACATTTTACTATGCAGCGACGTACAGACTATGAGAACGTACTTGATCAGCTGATGATCAGCACATACTCTGAACTACCAAAACCAAAAGTACTTCTGTAAGACTTATGCTAGACTGTTTCTGCACTCAATTGCTGTGATGTGTTGGGGATACTTGAGAGGTTCGTATAGGTCAGTGGCTGTGATTGCTGATGATAATGTATTAGAAAAGAATTATCTACGTATAACGGGGACAGATTTAGTTATGCCTAAGTATGGAACCTTTGTCACGATCGTAGCTTTACTTTGACTGCAAAAGTACATATACAAGAGGTTAGTTTTACGATTCTGAAATCTGGCCCCTCCGAATTGAGGATATTCGCAGTGAATTTCTGACCACTATTTTACATGGAGAGCAAAATGAATCAAACATCAACAACAGATTAATATATTTCGCTTTGAGTTACAGTCACATCTTGCCAAGTCATTTAGGCCACCAGGGTTTAGACTTTAAGTTAGTTACCTTAGTGAAATTTTTAACATAAGATGTTAGTTTGCTTAGTTACATTTACCTAGACCAGGGGTTAGTGAAATTTGTACAGAAATGACTGCAAGTTGTATAGGTGAAGTGTCCGATGAGGCACCAAGTGATCTAAATGGGGTTCATTTGACAAAAGAAGCCAGTGACATTCAACTTATTTGATTACATGAAACTATTTTGAACAATCAAGTGTTTGTCAAACGTCCTAACAGTCAGAATTTCGGTAGTTATCTCAAAATAACAACAGTTCTATACATGTCCTCACTGTTGGTAACTTTATCGCATTGAAATATGACATTTGAAAAGAAAGAACATTAGTAGGTTACTACCATCAGCAGCATTGCTTGTGCACAGTGAACCAACTGAGAAAACAAGGTCGAATCCACGGATAAAGTAATTAATAAAAATAGCAAACTGGCTAGTGAAGTTGCGAATCTTTACGACCAAGGACCTAGGTGACAGCTGAGAGTCGATCGCACTGACACAGATGAATGTATCTTTCCCCAAGTGTTGAATGTTCAGTGTTAATGCTCCCATATTTTATTACTTTTAAACTATATTCCTAAAGTCTGGTCTTGCGATTATTTATACTGTTATTATACCAACCCTTTTGATATTAATCCTGTTAATTATATCATATTGTATCGATAATGTAACAACTCAGGACAACGTCCAATTATACCGAAATATACAGGAAGTGACTAGAATCAAATAAGGAGTTATTAAAAATCAATTATTTCCATTGAAATGTTTCTCAAAAACACTTGTAAGAGACGCATAGTAAGGAGCCTGTAAAAGTGCTTTTACTATCACCTATGAATTCTCGTTACCTAAGTAGTATATAACATTTTTTTACCTGACTAGTAATCATTATCTTTCATCACAGACTCGAGTTTAGACATTATAAAATAAGACCTTAAGAACATGACAGTCGGTTGGCCAAAATCTACGAAAACATAGCATATAATGGATGGTGGTGGACTCTAAATTCGAGCAAGAAATCACAAACTTATTACTACGCAGTCTTTTGAGAGAAAACTATTTATGTAACAACTGTAGTTTTTCAAAATATAGTACGATATAAACATAAAAAACTAGTGTTCCACAAAACACTACGATATCACTAACAATAAGGGTCAATATATCTAATATTTACATAACTAAATCATAAAAAGTCATAGTAAAAAGAAAAACAGTCGCCAAACTATATTTTAGGGTAATCGAGTTAAGTACTTCACCAAAGACTAGTCCACATGAACTGATAATAAGCTTTATGGTTTTTTAGACAGTTTTGTGGAACCTTTGAGGAATCGCTTGCCCTTTTTTTAAACTATCGCTTGTATTGGGATAGTTTAATGATCAACTAGAGGTTGAATAATGGAACATGTAAAAACTTAACATGAAATTTACCATAAAACTAACATTTAAGAAAGTCATTTCTACTCATTAAGCAAAGCACAACGAATTATAAACGAAGCTTACCACATCGACTTCCCGAAACACATAAGAAACGGTCTTCGTTCGTTGGGTGATTTTCTGAGCGAACGTAAAATGCCAGTATGGAGTTTGTACTTACTAGCAAGTTTATGATGTCCAAAAATTGCAGCACATTGAAAAACAGTCTTGACATTTACATTTAGGCGTGAAGATGTCTCTACAATGCATAAATTTTTCATCCAATCCTTTTTAAATCCATTTAGTGTGTCCTTTAAGAGAGTTGAGGCTTGACTCGAAACACCCATATCATGTTTGGATGTTGCGATAACCACTGGAATTTTAAGCGAAGAAAGACGAGTGATTATATATCCTAAGAAGGCGGCTTGCTGTAGAGCTGAAGGACCACATAATGAGATGTCATATACACATACAAAAGCATTAACAAATAGAGTGGTGGGTTCAAGATAAACCTGAGGAAAAGCTGATTCATGTCCAAGCTGCTCCTTGCATATGTAAGACAACTTTCTTGAATGCAGAGTGATTTTGGAGTCCAAACACCGTTCTTCATACGTTCTGGGTTCGAAAAGAGGCTGGAAAAGATGGTCATCCACGAAATCGCACTGTTCAATTATTCGGATATGTAGTCTACAGCCATTAACATTCACACTATTTTCCCCCCAATACAGCCAGTGGCTTGAACAGATAACTTCACCATCGTAATCCGATAAACTTAAGACGGATAAGTGATTTTCATTAAATCTATATGGTGCTATAAAACGATTTATCAGACAAGATTTCCCAACGTGTTGACGAACACCCGTTCCTGAACCTGGATATCCAACTACAGATATTGTGACTTTCTCACTCTTTTCAAACACCATGTTTTTCCAGACATGTATAAGGACATCCTGATTTATCAACAAACAACTCTCCTCACGTGTTTAGCGATTTGATTTGACGGGTCTAATTGAAATATTTATAAACAAAATTTTAACGAAATTAGTTTTTGATCCTTAACATCGAATACGATCATTCAAGATAATATTCGGGGTGGTTTTTAGAGCAATATATTTTCACTTTTCGGCGATATTTCAAATTGTTCGGAACTACTGGTATAGTTATATGTTTACGCATATATTGCTGAAGCTTCGTTTTTTATACTTTGTCGTGTAAATTTTGTTGTGATTACTTCATGTAAAGCATTTGATATGCGGTTTTTCATATTATCCATTATGTGTAACATGTAAAGCATATTATATGGTTCAGTTAACAGTTATACTCCATAAAGTATAGATCCGGTATTTTTTCAGATACGATCCGTAAAGTATGACCTAGGGCCTTAAATCTTTATTGTAGACAGACTTTGGAAACTATCCTATATATTCCTTTCCTTTCACAATCGGGTTGAAAGCACTATTTCCATACTCCATGTAAGGTCAAGTGAAACTCAAATACTGAGTGAAAACTCCCACCACAAAACTTCTACAATATGGGCTTCATAATTTATAGTTCAGTGTTGACTCGAAACTCGTTATTTTCGTGATTTGGGTGTAACTTTAGATCGCAAGGAACAAAGTCACCTCCAATATGCAATACCTTTTTCACGAGCTAGTATAAACCAGTTGATTCCTTTATGCTCACCTAAATATTTCTATGCCATGAACACTACTGGCAGGGATTCATCCAAGTTGTGCAAGTAAAAGTCAATAAAATTTACATTTTGTGAGACATACCCTGATCTTAAACATATTAGGTAACTTTATTACCTAAATATAACAAGCCAGTAGATCAATCGTCACTGAAGACCGATTTTAAAATGTGCCTGCATATATTCTTGAGTTACTCAAAGATATTAGGAATCATTTATGAGACAGACTGATAGATGATACATAAGATAATATTGACCCGAAATTCCTAATGAGTTCCCGCATCAGATTGAGTACAAGTGGACTAGTATATCTGCTTAAGATTGTCCCTAGTGCTGTTGTACTCACGCGTTCTAAATTTCATTGTCTGCTGTCCACCGGTCACTTTAGTTCAGTCTTATAAACAAGATTGAATATGATATTAACTTACTTAAAAATTTTATAGCCTCGTGAAGCAGAAACGCTTAGTTAGTAAATATCCCCTCTAAGAGCCATTGTCTGTTGTTTTCCTTTCAATGCGTGTGTTAGGCGAAGTCGATTTTAAGATGACTGAAGTCTCCTAAGCCTAAAATGTGAGTATGTAATATATCTAAAAAATTGACTCAGTTCTTCCAAAACTGGATTGTCACATTTGGTGTCAGCAGTAAGCTTGCCTCAAACAACCCCAATATCTCTCAGTGTCAAACAATCTTACGGATCTACCGAGGCGATCAAACTCTTGAACGTTTACGTGATATGTCACCAAACAGAAAGTGGCGTATAGAACGGCGTACATAGATGCTTCTGTAACCGCATAAAAACGATATGCTAACAATGACTAGTTCTTATTCAATAATTTAAAATTTCTGTTTCTGTTACGTCTGCCAGATAAACATTACTTGGGTTACATAATTACCGAAACCCATTTGCTTGGTTGGAAAAATTTAACAGGTCCATACACAGGCAGTTAATATGTTCTATTTAAACTGTGAATATATCCATGATCTCTTTTCCTAGTGGCACCCCATGTACATGAGCAGGAAACCCATCTTCGCAAAACTTTCTGGTTGAGTGATTACTGTGCCTCCTACCAATATTTTTTCCCCATATTCCAATAATGATATGACTAGTCCCATTTTAATTTCGCTGTATTTAGTTCATAGGTTATGCAGACTACCATTATCTCATGGTTTTGTGCTTAGTAAATTTCAGTTTCAATAAGTAGTTTTATTTTTGTCGTCCACTTAATGTTCCTAGTATTAAATTAACCTATAATTTTACTACTATGATATTCCCTTTTCTCTTCAATTTAAGGTAAATAATCCAGTTCAGTTCAGTCGTACCTATTCACAACTTTTGGATAGAGTATTATGTTGAAAATAAAGGAGATTATTCTACTCCCGATTTTTGGGGTTCATTTTATCATCAGTGGACTAAAAAATGATCTCTTTTCTACAATGTGTCACCATGGTATGATAAATCACTCTGAAGTTGTAACTCACGTGATGTCTTCCAACATACAAAAATTCGTTCGTCGTAGTTCACAAACGGAATTACGAATTCATACTCATTATGATAGATCGATTAAATCTGTCAAAAATTTTGGGGTTATCAAGGCAAGTTTTGCTTAACTAATATATCTCTTTCTAGAGAGATATACTCGAGGCAGCAGTTAATTTTTGGGAAGATGCTCTTTTGTTGCGTCAGTTTAGTCCCATACCTAGTAGACTGACCCTTGATAGGTAGGTGTGAGCGATTTAGTCATTTGATTTTTCTAGAGTTTGTGTTGATGGTGCTACAAAACTAATTACATTTAATAACCAGCTGTTGACATTTTGTCTTAATGGTTGTGTGGAATGGTCAAAATGTGGACCTATAAACATTCCAGTGTCACATTTAAATGTAAAAACCTTTTTTTATCCATTAAAATTTTTCAATTGTTTTTATTAGCAGTGCAGATTTATCTACAATGGGACTTCGATGATTTCAGGCCACAAGGGAGAAGGTATATACCGTGCCAACTTCATACTCTATATTTCATCGCTTAGAACACACAGATGTAATACTGGCAAAGTTTTAGGTTATGCTGCACATTGTCAGCTTGAAGCTAACACTGATCGGTAAGTTTACTTTTCCTTTTATAAAAATAGAATTTTTCTTGTTTCGTAGTTTTGAATGTTTTGGTTAAGCATATTATGTATTGCATATACTTTTCGCTACATGAATTCAATATCTACTGAACTATGCTGCCAAAAGGAAGTACCATATAATTATCGGACGGATAGGAATACTCTTTGTCCTTTATAACTATTCTTTTTATAAATGTTTAATTTTTTTGTTGTTGTCAAATGAACTTTTATTAAATTCGTTATTAAGTATCCAATGGTACCCTGATTCTCTCACACATAGGCTAACTTAGATTTAGTAATAAAAGAACTAACGTAACTTAGTTATAAAGCTTGTAACTGTGATGTTGAATGACGTGGGTCCGAACGCTAATATAAATATACGTTTTCCTGGATTTTCGAAGTTACCGTCAGGATAAATCCTAGGGAGGACAAAACAAGTTTTATATGCTTTTCACACTTCAAACCCACAAATTAGAGTCAAAGCATGATGTGTCATAGCATCATCTTACTGCATTTATTAACTACAAGTCACTTTTGACTCGGTAGGACTGCATTACTACTAAGATTAATACCCTTATTTTGGTTATAACCTGACTACCAGTTAGTGGACAAACGTTATACCAGGTTGGTTAACTTAACTCATTTACTGTGTGCAAATTCGTCTACTCTAATTTGATTCACACTGATTGTTTGATATCAACAACTTATGTAAACCGTGATGAGTTAGTCTGTGATCTATTTGTTAATGGGGGTGTGTTTTAACTATGAGGTCACTGCTCCACTTATAGATGATATAATATTCAAACAACTAAAGTAGCCAATTCATATTCTTTATTTTCGCTATTTTGTATTTCCTTTGGTACAAAATGCTGAATATCAGAAGTTTCGTGTTGTCTACTAGTTCATTTGCAAACAGTTCAATTTTAGACTGTAATGTCTTTAAAGATGAGTAAATAATGTCTACTAAGCATTAGATTTATTATTCAGCAGAAACGTTATGTTTTCTCTTGTCTCATCAAATTTTCGTTATTTTGTTTCCTCTTTCAGTCCCATAGCTGGCTACATCAATTTCTGTCCTGATACACTAAGTAGTGAATATAACGACAAAATGCGTTCATTATTTGTTGCTACGCATGAAATATTGCATTCGCTGGTAAGCAACCGTTTATTACTATGCAAACGGCTTTTAGTTGTTTCACGAAGTTTGATAAAGGTTATTAGCATAAATAGTTTGTTTCTTATTCTTAATGAATAAATGTGACGATGAGCCGTTTGGTTCTTGAAGTTCGATAAAGCAAATAAGCAAAATCTCCAAGATATCTTTTTGTCACTGTAATCAATCTTAATTGGCAAAGTATTTTTGTTTAGAAACAATGAGTGTGATGCATTCCATTTATTCTGTATCAGTATACGTTATTCAGATTCTCATTTTAGATTGTGATCTCTTTAATTGCCTACATTACCACTCAAAGTTTTTAGGCATCGATATTAAAAGCTGTGACGACCACTGAACAATACACGTTAACATAAGTTTCAGTAGTACGACTAACTATTCGTCATCATTTTTATGTAGAATACTATGATTGAAGCTCGCATCTCCATCCTAACAATACGACAAGTATTTCAAAGGTGTTGAGGCTTAAAAACATTTTTGGTGAATTTTTTCTCCTCTGAGAGGAACGTGTAGTGTGCGTACCAATATTCTGAGCCCTTAGGGCTTGTTTTATCTTTTAGACAAACTAATTAACCTTTTCTGCTCGAGTCATTATTCACCCGCCTTTTGACCTCGACCGTTATTCTCTCACATACCCGTTTGTTTCTATTTTAGCGTATGTATATATGCTTACTCCGCTTATCGCGTCTCTGGCTTATTTTTGTTCAACTATAAATACTTAGTCATGCTTCATCGTATGGAGTTGACTCAGTCGCCTTCTCCGCCTTACTTCAATTTTCCCTTACATTTCATATTCTCATGTCTGTCTGCTTAAATGAATGCGTGAAATAAATTAATCCGCAGAACTGTATTTGGCTTCTTATTACCACCGTCGCACAAACGGAGTTAACCTAGGTATGACATACGGAAATGGGAAGGAAGATTTATTCCATCAGATACTCGATCATTCGACTAAAAGAGAGTCAAGCCACCAAAGATAAATCAATCTTATTACTTTTATCATCATAATCAACCTCAGATGCAAGTACGCTATTCAACTTTCTCTATACATAGCTGACATATATGTTCTGTTTGTCTTGGTTGGTTGATGTTCAGCCTTATCTTGTCACTATTTACTTCCGTTTTTTTGATTAACACTCTCACTTGCTTGATTTTTGACCTTTTGGACTTTAACTTTCATACTTTTTTCAGGGATTTTCTACAAGTTTGTTTGCATTCTACAGAGATAAACAAAATCGACCATTAACACCGCGTGACCCGACAACATTTAAACCTGCACTTGGCTGGTATCCAGGAAAGAATGGGTATGTCAGTACTGTTACTACTGTGTTAAAATTTAATCTTTTTTCGTGATTCTCGAAATTCCTTTTGAAAATGTGTACATATTTATCGGTGTGAATAATAATAATAATAATAATAATAATAGTAATATCTCCGAATTTTGTTAGCATGACATTTACTCTGGAACTAATCAGGTAGTTTTATTGAAGCCTCGTATTAACAGTTTTATCGTTTATCATTTTCTCATGAATATCTAGAGATCAATAACTTAAGCAGTTGAGTATATCGCCGTCAAATGAAAACAAAAATTTTGAGTAGTAATTTGCACAATTTTTAAAATCATGAGAGTGAAAGGGAAAGTTTAAACACAGACTTTATAGTTCTTTCAATAAAAAAAGACACGTAAACCCGCTAATTTAGACATCTGATCAGTTGACCAGATAAAATTAAAGTTTTCGCACGAGTTTTATTTATTTTATAATGCCTCACTATGAGTTTCTAAATAGCAAATATGTATATGGTCATGGATTAAATTATTGTTGTCAGTAGGATTGTGTTTTCAAAATTAATCACTAGTTTCATGTATGAAGTCCAATCTGTCGATCAAAATGATATTCGACAGTTCAGGTGATAATCAACCTACAGCTAATACTATCTAATGCAATTTGAGATAAGTTGAAAAGGACAGGTAGTCAGTATTTCATATTGTGCAGCGATTCGACTATTGTTCAAAATCAATTCGAATCTATGAATATATATATATATATATATATATATATATATATATATATATATATGCTTGCGTAATACAAAACGGTAAATGTAATTTAATTTACCAACTTTTGGAAGTCAATAAGCTTATTTTATGAATTTTCGAATTTCGCTGTTTCAAATATCATCAGTATATTTTGTATTTAGTTAATAGTAGAATTTAAAATATTTTCTCTATCTTATTTGCGTTCTCTTAATTGAACTGATCATTCTCAAAGATTTTAGAGGCTAGAACTCATTTTCGCCCGAATGTTTACACATAATAAATCAATAGTCATTTTTAACAATTAACACAAGTATTGTCAGTTGATTTGTTAATAATCAGAGAACTTTTTCTTTTAGAAAAAAAATAATCAAATCATTATCTTATTGTGTTTATCCAAACACTTTTTAATTGTATTGATTTTTTTTTCCTAATGACAAATAATCAACTAGATGTACAGTTTAAAATTAACAATGAATTACAAATCATAATTGTAAAAAATAAATAAATAAATATGTTAATTCTAAACAAAACTTCCATCCAACACCCCCCCCCACCTTTTTCCTTTTCTTCATATAATTAAAGTTTATTAATTTACTTTGAAATTAAATACGCAATCTATGAATTTATACTTTAGAAATAATAAATAAATACTGTCTATGAAGAATGATTTACTATTTGAAATAGTCATCTTTTAAAATGGAAAGAAAATTAATGAAAAAATTTTAAACTATTCTAATTTAATTTAAAACAATAATAATAATAATAATAATAATAATAATAATAATAATAAAGAAAAGGCTAAAAGAAAAAAACAAAACAAATGAGTAACGGTCAATTACGAAAATTAATTTGTCTTTATTATGCTTTTATAAATACATTACTTTTCTATTGGTAATCTAAATATTCTTAAATAAATTAATTATTAGTAAACAATTCAAGTGTTTTGTGCTACAATTTTACATATATTAACAAAAGTTTACATTCAAAAACAAGTGAATTCTTAAACTTATAAGTTTCTTTCTTTCTCATTTTCATCATTTTGTAAAGATACATTGTAAGCAATAATTAAATTTACTCTGTTTAAGATTTTTTTCGATAATCAGCTTTTTGTCCACATCCTAAACAATTAGTTTATATGAGCTTGAATTGTCCTAATAGTTCATCATTAATATACTCAATTAGAAGTAAGCATGAAATAACTGTTTAATTTATGCTAAACTAATCTTACTCTCCAGTATCATAGTGCTTTTCGAATTTTAAATAAACGTTTTTTGGAAATATTTCACAACCTGTTTCATTGTATCTTACTAGCTATAGTACAAATTCATTTTAAGGTGATATGTTGAAATGCATTTTCATTTTTAAAAAAGCACATAATATATAATCGCTTATCAATATACAGTGATACATACTATTAGCTAAGAGTCGAAATTATGACCGATCACTTGATTGGAGTAAAAATATTCAGCATGATAATATAAAATTGTTCTATTTCTTCAATCATAATTGTGTATTCTTTTCTTATATCCTCAGTCAAATATATCAATGGAGTAACAATGTAGTTCGAACAGTTAATCGTACTTGGTTAAGTGCTTTTGGAACTTTCCAAAAACTAGCCCATATTGTGGTTTTACCAACTGTTGTAGTAAGTATACTTTTGAATGTTATTTTATCATTCTTAGAAAAGATTAAAAAAAAAACTTGTTGTCTTTCATTATGTATTTTTTAATTGGTTCTGTGATGATTTGGCATAACTTACTGATAACTTTCATCGACATAATGACATTAGCCAAGAAACATCTAAAAACCAGGTGACATTAGAATCAGTAAGATAATCTATTGTAAATATACAAAATAGTAAAAAAATTCCATCACTAGTAATGAAAAGGTTTCTGTCAATGGATCAACTTATCATCTTGTTATCGGTCTCTCTGTTATCAATGTTTAACCATACTAAGTACTGAGTCCTACCTGAAGTTGTAATCTTTTGTAGAAACAAGAATTAGAAGTTTATACTGATTTATTCAGTTATCGGCTTTTAGTAAGGATTTTCTATGAAACAGTTGTTCTTCCTAGCTATATTAACATAGATGCTGGAATTCAGTGATTGAATAAATTATCTTAACAACCCTACATTTGTCGAAAAATAAAATATGTTGAGTATGATTCAATAGTAAAACTTTCTTTATTTTTTTAGACTAAATCATTCGTATCCACTTTGGGGAGAATATAGCATTTTGATATTTCCTCAGTTTGTTCTTATCACATTCGTTATGAATGCTTCCTTTCACAAATTTTACCATATTCTTATATCTTTGCCAAGTAGTATTTTGTATTTTAATGTTAAATAACTGCATATCATTACCAACTCCTACATATTTGATAAAATTATTTATTAATTTTGATCAAAGCTTTCTTGTCAGGTCCTTAATGTAAGTTGTTATCTTTTTCCCTCTTTAAAGTGGATGACAGCAAATAAGTAGACATTAAATGTTCAATAAATACTACATCGAATTATGTCAATAATGAGTCCTTTTAAGGGATGATTTTTTATTTATCTACTGAAAATAGGAAATTCCTTACCTTACATAGAAATCTGATAACATGTCCAACAACATTATGTGTTCTTAAAAATAGTTTTCATAAACTTTTAAGACTCAAATGCACTGATCAATTAAGTAAGATTCTTTTAAAAATGTTTTGTTGCTCCTCCTTTTACAATATGTGATCAAATAACTTCAGTATAAAATAAAATACATAGAAAATAGTTTTTATTACCATTTAAATTGTTTTAGTTAACAGGCGGAGCGAGAGCACAGAACCAGCATTTTCCAACCTACTCTGCTCTGAGCCTTCGTTTCCACTTCTATCCAATTGCTGTTCATTTTTCCCATGTCTGCTTCCAACCCTTGGCGTAATGTGTTCTTTGGTATTCCTCTTCTCTTTTGTCTCGAAGATTTCAAGTTATAGTTTGCCTTGTGACACAGCTGAATGATTTCGGCAATGTTAGTGTTTCATACATTATCTTAATCATGTTTCCTATATATATTCAAATAAATATTATTATATATTTGAATAGGGCGTAACGAAGATCTAAGGGGAAATAATATTGTTTATTTAAAAATCTATTATTTCTAACATATTAAATCATGATATTATATGTATAACCGAATGATACACTTAATAACTAAAACCATGAACAAATTCATAAAAATTGGTCAGTGATTTAATTTATAGCATGTCTACAGCATGAATTATTGATATTTGAAAATGCTTCTGTTTCAAAGTTGATGTCGACTTTTTATTCACCTCTGTAAATTATATACATATATCAAATTACATTTTCGAGTTTCACAATTTTTCAAAATATATTTGCTTTCGGTTATTTACATTTGTTTTTATCTTTTTTCGTTTATTTCACAATCAATACATAATGTGCTGCGTTCTTCCCATTCTGTGGATTATAATTTATGGGCCTCTGAAATAAATAACTGCAAAACTATTGACTTGGAACGTTTTAAAAGACAAATATAACGGTGGATTTAACTAAGATCGATTGATTATTTGTAATTTCTGATGTCTTACTTACTTACCAAGCAGTCTTCTGCTATCAATAACTTGTATAGGAACTGATAATTCATTGAAATATATGTCAATTTGATTACAGTTAATTCATATCCCTCATCAGAGTAGCACATTATGACTCATTGACTTTATGATCAATCACAATCACTTGTTATTTAATCTTCTTTTATTTATTTAAATTTGCATTATAATGAGTAAATACTATAATAGTTCTTAAGAACAATTGAACAGCGTTTATCTACAAGTAGAATTTAATTATTTCTTTAGTTACTTTGTTTTTATTATTATTATTATTATTATTATTATTATTATTATGATCTTATAAAAACAATTTAATTTTGAATTCAGAGAAGCCACTTCATAATACGTGGACACTGAACTTGTTCAATTAAAAACAAGGAAATGTCATGCAAAAAAAAAATACGTACACCATCTTTTATTAAATGAATACATTGGTTTTATAGAGTTTCTGAAAAAATATATATACCAGTATTCTGTAAAAATTATCATAAAGAAAAGATAACTTTTAGAGAATTATTAAAGGAGAAATTGCAACTGAGCATCAAAAGAATCTGACCACTGGTATGGAAGTGTTAAAATAAGGAAGGTTGATTCAGGATGAAGAATTGAAATTGGTTGGAAATCTAGGTAATAATGCCTTAAGTACATAAAAGCATAGTTTTTATAGTATATTCTTGACTTTTTTGAATGAAAAGATGAGTAAGATTTTAAACTGAGTCTTTTGAGCATATCTGTTGCAAAAAAAAACTGTGCAATCTGCTTTACTGTTATATTAACATAATACTTTAATTTGATAGTATGACAAAATAATCACAATAATAATTTTAAACATCCCGCTTTTATCTATGCTTTAATAAGAAGATTTATGATATTTTTGTTTTAACCCTCTTATTTATAGATCATAATGTTTATCGGATTAGGTGTAAATATGTTCCTAACTTCCTTTCATGATCATTCAAACTTCATCAATGAAACCAGTTAAATTTAAAATTTATATGGTTTATCTTCGTGATTAGTCATTTTACGTACAGAGTAGATTTGACAGAGACTACCTACTTTCTTTTTCTGAACCCATTTCTTTTAAAATAAATCATTAGTATCAACCTTTTTAACATCATGTTGTCTTGCCTTTCTGATCAAACTACTGAAGATTTGTATGTTATATCATCACACTTCTACAGCTGGTCATTTTTTTAGTTTTCAGAGACTCACTCTTGTAAATATTTGGATTCTCTTCCCACTAACTGTCTATAGGGTTTTCTTTTCGAAAATATTATTAGTCTCATAAATCTAATATTTTCCTTTCAGCTACTAAATTAACCAATTTTTGTTGTCAGTCAGTAAAATATTTCCCAATTAAACATTTTCTTTTGAATAGTCGTATATTATCAAATAAACGTATTTGAAATCAAACTTCATTCTCACATGTCAGCTTTAATCAATCGTTAGTCCTTTTCCTGATTGCGTAGTTCAAAAAGATTTAATTTCTAGAACTTTGTTAAGATCTGAGTGATGCTTGTTTGTAGCTGTTCAAAAATCAAAGTAGACCCGAGATAGTTTACCACAGTTACAGTTAGTATTTGATCAATACTCTTTTTTCAAATATTATTTATAATCAGCCGATTTACGATTGGTCTGACTTTATTATGTGACATGTACGACTAACCAATCAGATTCCAGATGGCTTTCTCAATCAGAAAGTCAACCTAATCAATATCGTAATCAGTTAAATCATGCATCTTCGTCTGTCTACAAATAAATTCCGTATCAGTACGTTAATAAATAAATTAAATTAAACTAAATAAACTGTCTACCAACAAACTTAACCATTAGTTAGCAAAGAATGTGACAAACCATATTTGCTATAACGGTGATTTTGAAAAGTTTTTCTCCCGCGGTATACTACGATGATACGGTAATGGGACTGGTCTGGATGACCGAGTTCATATTACCCCTGGATTAGATACTCGAATGTTTCACTATACAGAGACGAGACCATGTGATTTCAAATACATGATTCACGACCAAAATAGAGAACCAGAATAACGCTGGACAAGACTTTATTTTACACAGTTGCAAGCAAGCACTCCCAGTAAGTCCGGAGTAGGAAGCAATAACAGGAAAGAAAAGCATATATTTAATAGTCACTAAGCTAAATGCTTGTCTCTCCACGTACAACGAACAATCAGATTCACTACCACACATCAATATTCCTTTGGTAGTTAATTTCCTGGTATTCATCTTCAGATTATGTATATTTTATGGTGGTAATCGTGATCAAAAATGTTTTGAAAGCTCACTTCCTACATAGTTTCCCAATGCAACTCGATAAAGATAAACTTATATATACTAAGATACGTCTTAATAATATCTCTCAGTTTTGCAATCAAAAATATATAAAGAGCAAGTAAATCTCAGATTTATTTTAGCATGAGCCTGTTTACTTTTGGTAAAGTGGTTTATTGGTCTAATATTTTAATTAAGTAAAGGTAGAAAGGGGCCTTCTTCTCTTCATGTAAAAAATATGTGATAAAAATATCATTTGTAACTCATATAATTTTCTAGGATTTATTTTGTCATCCAAAAACCATTATGTACATAGTAGAAATCTGAAGTTGGAAGAACTACAGAAATAGGATTTGAATCGTAGGTATCGAGATAAGTGATAAATTTTAACTTTTTTCACTGTCCTTTCTGCACAAGTCACAAAGACGTTGAGAACTTTTGTATTATTTCAGTGTACCAATCAATGACAATCAATCAACAGCAACGTAGAAGCTCGTACGTACGTACAACACACAAAGAATGAATGCACTTGCGCCATTGCAAAAGGTTTTGTGCCATATCATTCAGGGTCTCTAACCATCGGTGACCCCGACCAGGTAGTAGACACCTACCGACATGGCTCAACCCACTTGTCAGTGACTGGATGGATTTGTGCCAAGTTTTGGCCTGGCCGACCTTAGCTTTCATCCAACCTATTCCTACATTGCAAAACATAGCTCGACGAGGTAGTCGGTGGTTAGATATACGTAACACATGTACCAACTATCTCAACTGATGAAGCTTCAATACTTCATCTGTTGACCTGCATCCTAACCTAGCACCCGTTTCCTAACAACAGCACTGCTTACTCAGTTGTCCCACGACACACAAGCAATGCTTCGGAGACACCTATGATCGAAAACCAGTAACCTAAGAATATCTTCTACTCTGACTGGCCATGTTTCATAGCTATAAAGTATGACGGAGCCTGTTAAAATTTAAAACGGTTTATCTTACTAGTTTGAACATCATATCACCACCATGTATCTAAGCTGGATACTGTGAAGTTCACAAATAAATAATAACAAATTATCAAATATATATAAATGATAATTAAAAGTTGCATAATATGAAATTTCAAATTCGACAAAAGCAACTGCTGTTTGTAACTTTCACAATGTCAATAATTTACTGACTTTTAAAATCATCTGTAGAACAGCATTATTGTGACATTTTTTTCCATAAAATATGTTGTATTAGTTAAACAAATGCAACATTTTGTTCGTTCATACAAATATGTAATTTTGCATTACCTCATTTCATGACGCTTTTCACTCTATATACAAGTAAAATCTGTTTAACTAATTAAGATAACTGCTAGTTTTGTGCAAAATTGAGCTAATTAATACTTCATGTTTAAATATTTATTCCATATTAATCAAGAAATTGATAATGTACAAATTTATATGTTATATTAATTGTAGAGAATAAAGTTATCGTTTCATCAATAATTATCAGGATTTATTCTCGTTTCTGGATACTTTGTTACTACTGTTCAACATGTGTTTTCTAAATGTTATTTTATGAAAAGTTGTAACAACAGTTGTTACTTTTTCTGACAATCGAACATCTTTGAATGATATTTGTATTTACTGTTGTTGTTGTTCTTCTTCTTCTTCTGAATTAGTTTAGCTATCAATCAGTTATTCATTTCTTATTATTTACTTTATATTTGAATTGAATATCTCAATTTTTACTGAAAACTATTTCCATTAAATTGGATAGATATTTTATATGTAATAAATTAAGTCTTTATCTATGTTACAAATTAATGTAGATTTAAGAGACTAAGAAAATAAGTGCATTTTCCCAATCCCTTACTGATCAGTTGGTAACAAGTACATCTATAGATTCTTACCGATTAATTTTAAATATGAAAATAAATTAGCACTACATTATCAATTAGATCCAAATAATTTTTCGTCAATAAACTAAACAGTCCAAATTATCTGTAATAGAAATTCTTATTAAAAGTATATGCATCAAGTAATTGATTCTTGAATTAAATTTATTCAGTGAAAATTAAAAATACTAGATAAACTAAATGGAATTGTTTTTAAAAATGTTAAATAAACTTGTTGGGGATGTTAGATCCCCAAAACTCACTTGATAAATGCCTTATTTTGGTTTTCACGTTTGCCAGCATGGGCTGATCAGTTGACCTTGAGATTTCAATTCCCATGGCTGTGATTGGGGGCTGTGTATTTTAGTGTGCTATTTTCGTAACTGTCCCAAGGACGTTTCTATGATGTATAAATAAACGAGAGTTGTATGCTTGATTGTACTGTGATTGCTGGGTGTTTGTAGAATATATTTTCTACGCTTACCAAGACTTCTGTTTTACCGTTTGGATTCAAGGTAGCCTACCTGGACGCTGGTAAAGTCTCGTTCGCGTTATCGACTAAGGTAAACTCGTAATGGCCTCAAGCATACTAAGTGACGAACCCAATAAAACTGAATAAGAAAATTTTATTATCTTCATTAATTTTATACGTATGATAATTGCTGTAATATTAAAAATTTGTCTTTCTAACATATGTAGTATTATTATATAAGTAAATACTTTGATTTCAGCAAGTTGCTTCACATTTTACATTTTTGATATAAGTAACATTATTTCAGCCAATATTTTGGTGTATCAATTCATCATGAATTTCAGCTAACGTGAAAAATGTGAACTATGTTCATTGTGACTTTTTTTCATCATTTCAGTTTAAATTTCATTCAGTTAGACATTTATATTCCCTATATCAATTACGATTAAATTATATTCACTAAGTTTTTACGGTCACTATGCATCTTCCTTTTTAAATGTGTATAAAAACTAGTATATAAATGGTTGTATTTTGGCCACAATAGAGATGCGATTTGGGAATTTGTTCAATGTATTTTGCGAGAGTCAATAAATCTTCATTTCAATAGGCATCCTTGTTCTTACATTACGTCATGGAAACTGCAAGGGTTAACAAATGTTACAGACAGACGCTGCATTTACATAACAACGAGGACGCTGCTGGATGTAACAAGTTTCATAAGATACAGGAATTTTACTTAATAGAGAATTATTCCTTTTCCTGTTTTATTTATACTTACAGTATTACAGTCATTTACTAAAGAGATACTTATTAATTTGTATACATAATTTAATGTGTTGAACGATTTGTTATCATATTCGTACGATTGGAGTCTAATTTAATTATTTAACAGCATGTAACATAGAGAAATAATCATAAATTTAACTACTTCTTATATTATTTTTAATCAATCAGAATATATGTATCACAGTGACATTATTATGATTATTATTAAATAGTTTCCAGAGATAATATTTAGCTTACAAAATATCAGTTACCATTATTAAACTAATGATGACGTTTTTGTATAAAAATCAATTTTTAATTTTTCCAACTAAATAAAAGATATTTTATCTGTGAAGTATTAAGTGCACAAACTGCTTTTCCTAGGGTAATAAAGTACTTAGAATTATTAAACAAACTAAAAACCATAAGACATACAAATGTAGTATAATTATCTTTCACTCGTTTAGACATAAGACAGGTTGACTGAAATTAAGTGTAAATACTTTGATCACACGCTCATCAAAAATAGATGGAACAATTTCACGATGTTTCTCAATATATCTGAATAAGTGATTTCAGAAATTAATCATTGTCTTAAAAAATGTCTTCTTGGTTAAACAATAAATGACATCCTTACCTACCTAATTTAGTAAGATTCAGTAGACGCCCAACTTCAATATCAGCTGCCTGGATTCCCTAGAGATCAGTTCGTGTAACAACCAAATCTTGACACTACGGATCATCTTGAAACAATCATTTAAACAGAACGCTTCACTATACATCAACTTCCTCGACTACGAGAAAGCATTTGTTAGCATGGACAGGATGATACCATAATGGCTTCTTCGAAACTGCGGCATGCCTGAGAAGATATTCAACATCATATAGAGTTCTGATGATGGAGTGAACTGCAAGATCATGCACAGAGGACAGCTCAAAAATTGATTCAATCTACGGACCGGTATCAGACAATTTCGCGTACTGACACCCTTTCTCTTTCTCCTGGTAGTTGACAAGATTATGAAAATCTCAACATCTGAGGGGAAGCACGGTATACAGTGGAGAGCTCAGATGCAGCTGGACGACTTGAACTTCGCAGATGATCTAATCCTCCTATTCCACACATGACAACAAATGCAGTTGGTCTCAACACACACAAGGGGAGAAGCGAGATTCTCTGATGCAACTCAACATACACCAACAAAATCATACTCGATGGTAAAGCCCTTAAACCTTTATATATCTGAGCAGCATCGTTAATAAACAAGGTTGGTCTGATGCAGGTGTGAAGACACGAATTGAAAAAGCAAGGGTAGTATTTCTACAAATAAAGAACTTCTGTAACTCAAAACAGCTATCAACAAACATCAGAGTCAGGATTTTCAATACAAAATGTCCAGACAGTCCTGTTGTATGGAGCGGAGACTTGGAGAACTGCAAAAGCCATTAAACATAAGATACAGGTGTTTATTAACAGTTGTCTACGCCAGAAACCGAGTATCCGTTTGCCAGACTCTAACAATAACAACTTACTGTGAGAGAACAATTGAATAGAAGAGCCCAGGAAAGATTTGTTTGGAGAATCCTGGTTGACGACCTATGCTCCTCAAGGGGTAACAAGTGGAATTAAAAAATACTTATCTCTTCTTTCCAGTCGTTCTTAAGTGCTATTCGTTCTTTTTATGTTTGCCTCCAATTTCCGGAGCAATATATTTTTTTGGTTCTCTTCTTTTCATTTGGTCTAAAGATTCCAAGTTAGGAATCGCTTCGTGACTTAGTTGGGCGATTTCCGCGATATGTAAATAACAAATGAGGCATCGATTAATTTTATTGAACCATCTTTATTAGTTGATTGAATATATCTCAACACTACTGTTGCTTTTTCCCTTCTTCACTAACTTTCCATATCTTCTGTGAAGTAGATTATGCTGTTTTTGAGTAACTCATTAGTGTTTCAAGTAAACAAGTGAATTAAAATAAAATCTGTTTTCCGATTTATCCATTTTACCAACGAGTATATATAAAAATAAAAAATTCACTTAAAGACATAAAAATTTAATTTAACATCATTTTAGTAGTAAATTGGAAAATAAAGCTCATTCTTAAAATTCTACCTTACAGCGTATTGCTAGATCATTCTACAATTGTTCAAGTCTTGATGGTGTCGAGTTAGAAGATGAGGATGGTGCAGGGGTATACTTAACACATTGGGAGAAACGTCTTTTAGAGGTAAGTTTTCTTCATGAACTTATTTATAAAAATCTGATAACTGATAAAGTCTTCACTTTAGCACAGCTTAATAATATAATATATCTAGAATCCTAATCTATAGAATGATGTTACACATGCACGTAAACACATCAAATTGAAGTGCTTGGACTATTACAAATTTACCTTAGTCGGAAAACGAGAGAGAAGATCGAGGATCCGGTGACACCTCAGGCTACTCTAATCCGCTTGTCCCAAATCCCCATTGAGTAAAAGAAGAAGACTGGATATGAAGTAGAACATGTATTCCGCAAGCATCCAGAAAGTACGAGGTTCGAGTCCAGAGGAGAATCAGGATCCTGGACGAAGGATCCGGGTCCGGGTCATGAAAGATACAGATAATTCGTATTTATCCAGTTAGGTCGAACAGGAAACAACATTGAATTCTGTGACAGTGACAGTTAGGACGACCAATAGGAAACAACATTTGAAGTGACATTGATAGTCAGGACGATTAATCGGAAACAACATTGAAGTACGTGACACTGATAGCTAGGACGACCATAATACTGACCAGTAGGAAATTGACCAATATAGAATTAGACTTACAAAAATAATTCTCTTAGAATATTTGATGAATATCCTAACAATGAACAGTTAAAATGTTGTAGAGTGTATTTTCGGGTTTCTAAGGATGTTAGAACTTTCTAGTAAAAAACCAATATGGATGAGAATTGAGCCTAATTCTTCCTATTTGTTGCCTAAAAATCAAAAAATTGTTTTCAAGTTTTAAGTCAAGCATCTGAAAAATAGTAGTTTATTTTGGTATTACAAAGTTTCGATTTTTAGCTTTTTGCTCAACAAGTGAATTCAGATGCAAAGATATGTTTATATTATTTGTATCCCACAGTGACATTATCAACCAAGTTCGACAATCTGACATTGATTTCATGAACTCTTTTTCTATCATTCTTATATTGTTTCATTTATCACCGATCTTTTGAAAGCTTAATAAAACACTGATTATATCAAAAACCATAATCTTTCACAGGTGACATGAAACCTTACTAATTATTATGCAAATCAAAGCTTTCAGGTTCCGACAAATTATTGTAACAGACATATTTTATCGTATGTTTATCAGCATATTTCTGTTTGCAAAGTTTCAGGGTATTCGTCTTAGGGGCATTTCGAATTTCCACAGTTATTAGCCTTCATTTACAAAACTTAAAGTTCTTTGTGAGTAAAATGAACTTTTAAGTACTTTTAATTCTTAATAAAAAATCTTTTCGTAAGCCAAAAGGGAGTTTGTTACCACATCATCATTTTGATCGCCTGTATGGATCCCCACTGATATTGGTTTATTAGACAGGATTATCAGGTGAATAAACGCTGAGCTTTATCACTAACATACATTTTCTGAAACATTCAATAACTCTAACGGTGAATAAGCTTCTTAACTTCTATTCATCTTCGAATTTTCGGCCCTATTACGAATCTAAAACAGTTGCATCATTTTACACCCAAGCTTTTGGTTGTTTCATAATCATTAGGTTACTTTATTGACAACTACGTTTTATTCTCTAGTAATGTGCGCAAGTTGTCTATGGCATTTCTGGTATACCTGCTGAAATGCCTAACTCACCTGTACTTAATACTCAAAATCCCGAATCTGACAGAGCATAGTTACAACGCAAAGACTTCTGTTATGGATTTGTTTGACCCCGAAAATAAACTTGGATGATTTATTTGTGCACTAAATTTTGTGTGATTTATTTGCAGTCAGATTATTATGAAGTGAACTGAGTACTATTTAACACTAATTATTCACCAACTTAGTTTGAACATGTTCACAATACCATACAGTTAAACGTCGATAACCAACAAATATAACCAGTTAAATGAGCCATATAATCACCCTTTCTCAAAATGTAGTTACCTAGCACAGATGATAAATTTCACAGATCAATCGCAATCCAATCTATAAAGTGATTGATCACGATATCAATTTCGTCAATTGAAGATTGATTCTTTTTGTGAGATTAAACTCTTTTGTCCTTCTTCAACAACTAGTCATCATTAAGTCTTCATGATGAACCTTTCCCTCTGGATCAATGACCAAGTTTCTTTGCATATTTTAAAGTCATTTTCAAAAATCGTTCGTAAATAGTGCCTCTTTCATTCGTATTCCAATTACTTCTCATAAATGATTTACGTCTTAGATACTAAGTTACTTATGAGTAGTAACATTTTGTTTTGAAACTTTTTGTGAATATTTCTTAAAAGAATGATTTGATGACAGCTACATACACAAATTCGTTTCGAATTTCACCGATCACTCTAGCAATGATGGAGGATACCGGGTAAGCTCCTTAAATTGAAATGTCTCTAACCCTTTTATAATCTGAATTCATATCCCCTAGAGTTGATTTCTTTTTTTTCTTCTGAGAAAAATATTTAGAGCTTAACGATTATGAAATGATTCCTTAATAATCTATTGAAATTAAACTAGAATTCATAGATTCTGTTAAGATTTTTCACCGCTCATTGTGATATATTTAAATTTGTATAATTACAATAGCTCAATTTAAGTATATGGTTTTAAAGTTCGAGATCTAATAGTGTGATGCAAATAACTAGATGATGATACCATAAAAATTATCACTGAGCTTGGTTGCACATATTTTGTAATATGATTTCATCTACTGACCGTGAGCAAACTCTTTCAGTAAAATAGCATAATTTAGTGTTTAGAACTAGGAATTGAACATCAACAATTTGTTTATGAAATCGGTTTCTAGAGTTTCTCAAGTTTGATAATGAAACATATTTATCACATTAATTTAAATGTATAACTTTGTGCACATTTCTAATATTCGAAGTTTTTCACTGTTTCTTTAGGTTTTCAATCAGCTGTTTATAAACGTAAACTTATAATCAACGAATGGCTAAAATTCCCTACGTTACAGTTTACCGCTAGTCATGGTGTTATGATCGCTCTAACTATAGATTAACTAGCTGTTATTGATTATTAGTGAAATGTTCTACTTGAACCCTTTATACTTGTATAATAACTGAATGATATTTTCATCAGTCGTAGGTTTCTTAATATAGAAGCTTAAGAAACCTAAATTTTACACATTCATTATCAGTCTTCTCATTGAAGTGGCTTACGTTTTGTTTACAATTTTAATATTTCTCTTCATTTAAGCTGGTACATCTCGAACTATGCACTATCTCAGTCTTTCAGTTGGGGTAGAGGTCGAGGATGTACTTTTGCTACTGGCAGTTGCTTAGAATACATGCTAGAACAAAATAATCAGTAAGTATTTCAATGTAGAATTACTTCATTATTCACTACTTACATTCTCGTAAAATGTTTACGGTTTAATGAGCTGTGAATTCGATTAGTTTGAGAATAATCAAAACAAACGTTCGTAATTACTCGATGATCATTAAAGGCTTACTTTGGAGATCCTTAAAGATCAGTAGAAATAATTAAAATCGGGCATGGTAAAAAACTATTTACTGACAATACAATGAAGACTGATTGAATTCTGACCGTTTCGACTTACTTGAGAAACCTATCAAAACATACCAATTTCTATCCTTGATGAGGTCTTAGTTGTGCATTACAAGAGAAACTTTCAATTAAGTTAAAACACTTGTACAGTGTACGTTTTTAAGTGATTCTTCAAAAATAAGAAATCAGATCCAAACTAATTATTAAGGAAGTTGAGGCATCATGCACTTTGACCCAAAACTAAGATTTATAAGATTAGAGCTTTTACTTAAGGACTAGTTTATGCAGTAGAAGAGAGTGCGATGAATCCTAATCTTAAAATGAACTGTACCATAGATCTATCTTCATATATGCTTTGATTATGTACTTCAACTTGACAAACAAGTATCATTTGCAAAAAACTCTGATGATTCACTTTAGTGCTGACATAAAATTTAAAATATTCACTGAAGTTACTATGGGATATCAATGTCTTTAATAGTAAAATCAGCTTTTTTGAATAGTTTACATTGTAGTGTATATAAGTTTGATAGATTTACTAAACAGTACATTTTTTTACTGTATTTATTATTATGATAAACAGAGAATGATAAGCTTTTACACTTAAATTCTAATAATATTTTGTCGAAATGGTTTTCAAACAGTCCACCTTATTTAAAGGTATCAGAGTTTTGATGATCGAAAATTTTTATATGCACAAATTAAATATCCAGAAAATTATCTTCACAAATAAACATATTATCCTGTAAATATTAATTTTGATGTACTATTTTTCTTCTTTATAGTGGTCATCCAATTACACCATTTTGTCAACAGTTAACTTCAAGTTTTAACAATAAAAATAATGGATTACAAGTGAGCTGTACACCGGATGCAGAAAGTTATGGATTTTGTAATTTGATTGAATATTCTAAACCACTACCATCCGAATATGTATATTTTGTTGGCAAAAATTTTTCGAATGGTACATTAAATTCTGAAATCAGTCTAGGAGGTACTGAAAATTTAACGAATCAATATCCACTGGTTAAATTAGGCGGTAAAATAGCTTTGGCTAATTATTGTCCTTATCATCAGGTTTGTGAATTGAATTTATTTGATTTGATTATACATATACTGTTAATAAGAATCAATTATTTTCAAAGTATATTATGTAATAGAAACAAAGATTCTGTTAGAATAACAAATATAATTTATCCTTACCTTATCATATAATTTCAGTTCTTTACGTCAACTTCCTCACTAATTCATGTTGGAAGATATATGAATTACTTTATAGGTTAGTATCTTCAATGAATCTTAAGACAAGATACACTAATAGCTTATTTATCTATTGAATGAGCATTATCATTTTGGGTACTAATAAGCTGTTAAAAGTGTAAACAATATAAGCTTTAATGTACCTGTAAGCAAATAAAATTCAAATGTATAATTTATGTATGATTTTGTTTAAAAGTTATCAATAGCATATAATTAATTAGTTATTGTTTAGCAGATTTTAAATACATTTTAAAAACATGATTTACCTATGATGATCAACAATTCATTGAATACAATATTTAAACAGTCAGTCAGTCGTGGAGGTAACACAGTTATTAAGAACTTTACGAAGGATTTGATTATGATCAAGTTAATCCCGTGTGTTGTTACGGATATGAAGGCGGATGTGACTTCCCGGCTGCCCACACACACACAATCACTTGGACCAAAATAATTCATGTGACACGTCTGCAGTCATGTCTTTTTATTTTAGAGTCATGAAGATTGTTGTTTTACATCGAAATTGTGAACCGATTATGGTTAGACCATCATTCAAAGCCTGAAAGTACCGGAAGGCCGTTTCATTCCACTATGAGACTCTTTAGCACTGCCCATCCATGACTCCTACCACTCGCAGGAACTAAACCCATGACCTTCGGTCTCGCGCGCCAACGTTAACCTCTAGACAACTGAGCCAGCATCTAAAGGTGTTAATGTCTAACTTTGATCACTCTAAGGTTTTTACGCAACCTCACCTAATGTCTTCGACAGTTACCACCTACACCTGACTGGGCTGAACTCCACTGATCACGTCTTCTCACTATAGCTCCGAGAACTCCCTCACGAAGCTAGTCAATAGTGAGCACATTTTATGATTTTGCATTATAGCGTCAAGGAGATTGTTCTTTTACATCGAAATCATGAATCAATCATTGTCTAGTGCTTTCAGGTTTGTAGTGGTGGTCTAACAATGATTGATTTATGATTTCAATATCAAAAAATTATGTCTATTTTGATTTTGATTTAACTGACAGTCTGCCTTGTTACTGCATACTAATTAAATTAATACTTATTTAATTCTTTTATTGATGTTTTTTTTACTTTGAAGAAGCGATTTTGTACTAACAGATGAAACGTCAGAAATTCTAATTTGGCATATTACACGTTTTCATCATTATTTTATGTTGTCTCCATCATCATGTTCCCTTATTTTCCCCTAAATACAACTAATATCTCTTTTTTCTTTTACCAGTCTGAAAATGAGACTTTCTTTTAAAATAATTAACAAAAATTTATGAGAATTTATTTTCATACATTTCTTTTATAAATCACTTTCATTAATAAATCATGTTCAGTTTTAAAAAAACTTTTTCTATAGGAAATAGAATGGGAAGATAATGTAGGAAAATCAATTGCTAATACTCATTGTCATGCAACAACTAATCATAAAGGTAAGTGAAAAACAAATCACACACATTTGCTTTACATTTTATCAATTTGATAGAAAATTTATGGAATGTTGATGAAAAAAAATCTAATTCAATATTGTTGTTTTTATCTACTTTATTTTATAAGTAGTATATATTTTAATTCATATATTTTAATAAACATCCAGCAAATAAATTGTTCCAAATTTTTATCAGGTAAGTAACTTTTGCGCTGTTTGAATATATATGGTGAGTCGATTATTGTAGCGAATGTATCAGATTTTATATGACCCCAAAATGAACTGTTAGCTGTACTTATTGAAAGTGTCCGATTTTTTATCCCAAATATTCTGAATGAACTGATAGACATATTTAGTAAACTTCATTCTACTTTATTTAAAGCTGAATAAAATATTATCTTTAATAAATTCATTAATGATTTTTAGGATGTCTTAGTGCTTGTAATCGTTTCAGAATAACCGACTATATGATTTAAAATGAAGTTCTTAATCCTTTTTATGATAGAAATTTCGTATAATTAGATATTTTAAAACAATTAGTTTCCAATTATTCTTTTTTAAATCGGTTGTCATCTAATGGTTTGACTTATGTAGGGGTGGGGGTTAGGGAGGCTTTGTTGTAACTTAATAGATAAAAGCAGAACAGTACTAAACCGAATCGCTTAGGGATATATGCAACATACATCATAGATAGGCCTGCCTACTGGTAATTATTTTCGGATTTACTATCGTCACTATTGACAAGGAAGTAAATTTCAAACACCAAGGACTGACAGCCCATCATCCATTTCATTTATTTTGTTTTTAATTTTAAAGATCCACATTACAACTTTAAACTTGAACGATTTGGTATGAGTTCTGTATGTGTAGAACATAGTCCCAATTGGTATCTAATAAATGGAGACTCATTATTTGTTCCACCAGTGGAAGGAGCTGGATGTTATACGGTATGATTTGAAAAACTTTTCCTTGTATATGTAAACTATTTCATTTTTAAGATGCTCCCATATATATATATATATATATACATATATATACCTTTAAATTTCTGAACACTGGGGAATGGCAATAGACTTCATTTCTAGTTTTAGCTTCATTCACCCACTATACTAAATCATTTAGTAACTACTTTTTCTTGTCGAAAAAAAGGTTTATTAGTGCATGTTTATTCGTCTCATATATCGTTTGTGTAATATTATTCAAGTCACTTTCCTACCTCATTTATGGCATTGGTAAAGAGTAAGTCTAAAATATTGAAGGGTTTTTTATGCATCATTTGTAAATTATGAATTTTCTAATATGATTAGATGATAAATTTTTATGTACAAATGTTTGCCTGTAAAATCTAATAATTGTTCTCCTCCAAAATTATTGTTTACCATTCCGAATGTATCGTGAAAATATGTATCTATATCTTCGTCTAAATGTGTCGTATAATGTACACAAATTCTTCAGAGTTTGTGTGAAAACAGAACACTGAAATCTTACCTATATCATTCCATATTGATTCTTTTCTGCTAAGTCACTTTCGTGATCCTCATATAGTTCACCTTCTATTTTACAGTGAGTTCTATTATTTTTTTCAACAATATTTCTGGTTAATTTTCCTATTTCTTAAAAAAGTAAAGAGACCACTGCTTTTTCTATTAGTTATTTACAAGATTTCATCTTTGTTTAGTTTTTACTTGAATTTTGTGATGATTGTGAACTCTTATTCGAAACTAATGACATCTGATAAGCTTGATGATGCAGTAAACTTTTCCGACTTACTCTAACCATGTAGAAATTTATTATGGTTTGTCTTTTCGACATACTGATGGCCATCCAATGTATTAACTAGTATATGTAGGAGAGAATTTTTATCTGCTTGATTAGTAGCTTTTCATAATTTGTTAATAGATCTGAAAATGTTAGGATCATGTTCATTTTTTCAAATATCTTTTTATAGTTTACAAATATTCATCAATCTGTTTTAAATATTTGTACACATATTCTAAATGAAGACTAACACAAACTTCCAAAAGTAAATTTCCTTATTATCTTTCTTATAAATGTTAACATTTAATATTCGAATAATTTCGTTTTTTACTTTTTTTGACCTTAATTTTAGTTCCGATGCTCAATGCATGAAGGTGGTTTAGTTTTAGAGCTGGCTGGAGGTATGTCGATTCCCTGTGAAACTCCAGGAGAACTTAGGGAAATCAATGCTTGTTTAACAAAGCAAAGTCTTACAGTGAAAGGAAAACTTGTGTGCCCTGACTGCAGATCACTATGTCCAGTAAGTAAGGACTAACCCATTATAAATCTATTTCTTGTATCGAATCATTTTGTTTGTTTTTTAGTAATACACTTACTTATTGACATACTTATTGGCCAAACACACAGGTATAATCTACAAGTAACAACTCTAATACAACTCACATTTACTATTATCAACAAATTATGCTTCACTTAATTATGAATACATTCTAGTAATCCCTTGAAAATTTTACTGATAGTGCTGTTTAAAAAGATAATATCAGTTTTGCGAATAAACCGCCAAGCTAATATAGCTTAATGTCAATAAAATAAATCTTCTGAGCTAAAAAAAATTCTTTCATTTAATTACACTACTAAATACTGATAATTTTTTGTTTTTTTTTCATTATGTAACCGAATATAATTTCTCTGGTTATATTTACTTTTTAAAAATCTATATTTTAGTTATCGGACTGTCCAGAAACTTATTCTACCCCACAAGACAATTTAAAATATCTCAGGACAAATTACTCCAACAATTATTCCTTTTCATTTTTGTATGAAACAGATATGTTTATACCTAAATCATCAGCTATACACTATTCTCAGTTAACGGTTGATGAAACTCGGTCTTTTGTTGAAAATCCATTGTATATAGTTGAAAATTCTGAAAAAACTAAAGGTATTGTTGTTATACAACAAGCAATCTTACCTGGTGCATGTACAGTCAGTATCGCTTATTCATCTGTTTCGCTAACTTTTCCATTGTCCATATACTTTGTATTATTTTTTCAATCATTCTGTTTATAAAATATCTCACTCTTTATACACTCACAAAATGAAATTTCTTATTGCCTGAAATTTACATTTGATTTCATTTTACTTACATTGTTTGCATTTCTTTCACATAACAAGATCATTACTAATTGTAATTATTTTTGTAAATAAAATACATTGAAAGAAACAGCATTCATTTTTGATTTGAAAACATTCAGCAATGCTTGCTGAAAGTTGATTTTGTGCATATATATATGCGCTCGACACCATAGTAGTTGTTAGTAAGAAGTACTCTTCTATACCTAAAATAGTTAGTCTCTATTCTGAATGATCGGTAACAACCACCAGGCATCGTCACACTGAGATTTTTACTTAGGAATACTCGTCATGAAAACGTTTCAGCATTGCTTAGTAGGTTCATACTGTATTTAAACTGCAGATCCACATAGTTAAATTGATCATTTTCCGAAATTAAAAGTATTATTCATTTCGGGTTAAGGGTTGGACTTTAATTTGTATTTCTCTGATAGAATAATGAATATCTGCAGTTAATAGTTATGGGATCATATTGATGGAGCCAGAATCTATTGCGCTATGACATCTGGATATTGTAATAATATGTCACTGTAATATTCACTTCATCCTATTGAATTATTAAGCACACACAGATAAAGTAAGAAGGAAATAATTCCGTCCATATTTACTTGACTTTAGAATTCCGTCATCGTAAGTGACAAGAAAAAAGACGATAAATGAGAGATACAAGAAATTCGACACATATTACGTGTCATTACAATCCCCAATACAAACTCAGTAAAATAGTCTTTGTTGGCTAAATATTTAGAGAATAAAATCTTAGCAAAAATGCTTGAATAAACGATGAATAAAATTTACTATGGTATCACCCAAATAAGTTTCCTAATTCTTTTTTATGTAACGACTGAACTCAATGATTAATCAGTAAAATTACCGAATTTCAAATGTAACAAACAATTATGAATTTTATATCCCACATTATCTACACTTTACTAAATCTACTTATAGCATTACAATAATTACATATTGTAACATTTAACAGTATCAATTGAAATTCTCGGTATTGCATTGTTTTTATCCAATATACAGTAAACTAACTGAAGATGAAAATATAAACCACCAAATCCTGATTTGGTTGCTTAAAAGCATCATCGTGCACACGAAACACCAAGCTTTTCGGTAATGATATTGTATAATGTTATTAACTTGAATTACCCCTGAATTTTTCACTAGTCCAAGGCAACTAACTGTTCAATACCATGTAATTTTCACTAATTATCAAGCTATTATCAATCTGTGATGAAAATCAATTTTTTTAAATAAGTGACTTGTTTGAACTTCAAACATATACCAATTAATTTCTGTTAATAACCTTGATTTTATTCAGTTTTGTACTGCATGCACTATTTTCAATTAAGATATAAACAGTCAAAACAAAAATTCTATGAACTGCCCTAGTACACTAGTTGATATTTTGTGCGTAACTCACAATAAATTGCTTTTTTCTATGAGAAAAACAAAAACAATATAATTGAGAGAACATTTTAAAAAAATATATTTAAATCTTCACATTCTTAATTATTTGGTTACCTAGTTCACCTATTTATTTAATTAAATAAATGTATCTTCTAGTTCTTAATAGCATCCGGTTCACTATATCAAATTGGACGTCTTTTTTATATTCTGAAGTCATATTATGAGTAAATTTGTTTACTTTTTCACCACAAAAGTATAAATATCATATCAAGTGGCACTCCAGTAGATAGATCACATGACACAACAGAATTCAATTTTAAAATTATTATTATTATTATTATTATTATTATTACTTTTAAATTGATATCACATTTACAAAAATGAAAATAACTCTACTGGTTCACACTTGTCAAAATGTAAGAAATGAAGGAGGGGGAAAATAAAATAAAATGTCACTTATTAAACTAACTAGCTGATTAATTGTAATTTGTAGTTGACTTTTTTTCTACCTTTTCTATTCAACACAAAATTAATTCTGGTGATAAACTAAATTTGCAATAAATAACTGTACTAACGTTTATTTTGTTTGTTTTTTTAAACTAGCGACCATATATATACTATAAAATGAGGGTTAGTAAAGTTTATTTTTCACATCTTGGCCTAATTCTCTTTTCTAATCTGTAAAGAATTTTTATCAGAGACAGGGAATTTATAAAAAAAAAGAGAGATTTTTAAAAAAGGTTGACCAGTCACAACTTAGTATTCATTGAACATGTGTTCACAAATTTATATATGATGATTAGCATTAATTGTAAATTATTTTCTACAAAAAATGTTTTTCTATAGTTTGATAAGTTTACCGACAGAAAATATGGTGTATCATTTTCATCGGTCATTATATATATATATATATATATATATATATATATATATATACATTTTATCAAAATATATTCTCCCATTTAATAACAATAATACTAATAATAATAATGACAGTAGTAGTATTTAAAATAATAATTACATCTTTTTTTTCATTATTTATGTTCAAACATGTTAATAATACTGGTTTTTCTAAATGATTAAACTATTAATATGTGTATACTATGAAATTTTTATACATAGTTTAACTCTGAAAACCAATATATATATATATATATATATATATAAAATAGATTTTAGAATAGCATCAATATTAGGAAATCTCGTTAACGTAATACAAATGAATGTTATTGGTAGAAAAGAAAGCAAATTATCATCAGCATACAAGCATTTATATTTGACATTCAAACTATGCATTTGTTTTACAATATTTTAATTGTTAGGGATTATAAATATATATATATATATATACATATATATATATATATATATATATATATATATATATATATATATATATACATGGAAGAACAGTGTATACAGTTCAAAAAATAATTGAGGATAATTATAGTCAAATTTCAATGAGAATTAAAGCTGAAAATGAATATATAAACATAGACACACACTTACATACGTAGAGACATGTGTACATACGTAAATTATCTTTGATTTTACTAAAGCTTTAAATATTCCTAATAGTAATTGCTTGTTATTAATTCCAATGAAATTGAAACCCTATAGATATGTTCTGTTTTGATTTGTCGAATAAAGTAAACATTTACTATAGTATTGTTAAAATGAAATTCACATTAAATTTACTGGACACTAGCCTTATTATATATATATTAAACCATACAAGTCGATGATTATTATTTTTAATTTCTAACTAATTCGAACATTAAAAACTATTTGGTGTTATGATAATTTCGTGTAATTCAGCAGATGTTTTGAGTCCATTATTCCATAGAATGTTGTATGAACACTGACCGAGGTGTCCGAAATTACGTAGAAGTAACTATGAGAAGAGGATATTTCACTAAATGTAACTTTATCAGTAAAGAAACCTTATTCTTTGTTTATTGTCTAACGGGTTCTACCTAAATAATCCAACTTATGTACTGAGCAGTTCGCTTTAGCTTTACACTATTTTCTAACTAGTAGATACTCAGTTTATATTTCCATTAATACTATTTCTATAAACAAAACTTGCCAAATCTATATTTTAAACTTTAGGTAAAGTAACTACATATTAATTGTTCCTAACTTTCATCATTACTTATGGATGAGGAAAATCAATCGCATTTTTGATTAATCAATATTATCCTGGAGTAAGCTGATAGGGAGACGTAACTGTATTCGAATGATCAGTCAAAAAGTAGAAAAAGACTAGAAATCAAGAATTCAACTACTATAATGTGGACATGTGAATTGGTAGTTTTAAAGCTAAAGTCAAAATGGTAAACAGAATTTAAACTTGGTGAAATAGTCTTTTTGGAATTTCAACTTTATGAAATAAATTACTTATTTTATTACTCTAGTTAGTTTTTGATCATTTCCTCTTTCTGATTACCACTGACTTTAGTCATATGCCTAATCACTGTCTACAGAATTAACTTACATTTGAAAATAAGTTATTCTGGTATTTCACATTTTTAAAGGCTTTATGTCAAAAGTATTTCACGTTGATCTAAAAGTTATAATCTGAAGAAAGTAGTATTATAATATTAGTTTTTGAAAGATTTTAATAAGATCATGGCTATTAACAATATCAATCCAAAACCATAAAAAAAAACTTTTTAACTCAACTTCGTTCAATAGTTTCTCAACAATGTATATTGGTAATACTTCTGTTTGTAACACTAACAACACTGAAATATATATATATATATATATATATATATATATATATATATATGTATATACATAATTTCTTTTTTTCACGTACGTTTCATGAATGATCATCGATAACCTTGATGCTTTTATTTTGAGTTTACTATTAAATAATGTTATTTATCTGATACTGAAGAAAATATCACCTAATATTGAAAGTATTTCAGTTTAGGAATGAAAATTACTAACTGACTATCGATTCAACGAAAACCACTAAATTCCTTAAATGTATTTATCGACATGTATCATAAAACTACATTTTTTTCCTGCCAAAAATAAATTATCTATGTTAAAACACTCAATACACAACAATATGTATATATCTTCAAATTGAACATTGATTATTATTATTATTATTAATGAAAATATATGCATTAAATAATATAAATTGAATCATGTTGTACAAATATAATCACAGTGTTTCATTTTGCATAAGTTCTATGTTAATTTTTTTTTAAATTATTTTATTGTTATTTTATTTCAACTGCAAACATTTCACCATAAGGAAACAATCTAATTGGGATGATTAAAAAGAAATTGAAATGAATTGATTTTCTTTTTGTCAATGAGACAACATCATTTTACACGATTATTACAAGCCAGTATTGCTAACATTTGTCATTTATCATAAAAACACAAAAAAAAACAGTCGGAAAATAATTCTTATCAGTGAATTTATACACAATCTTGTTGTTATTGTTGTAACTTTTGTTATAAGAAGGGAAAAACAAAAGATCACTGAAAAGAACAATTCATTCATCATTCAATGAATCAATGTTTGTTCAAAACGAAAAAACAAACAAAAAAACAAATGAACACTTTAATCTTGAATCATATAATCAATTTTTAAAAAATGGATGATATGTGAATTGATCTTTACTTGTTAATAATTCATAATTAATTTCATAAATATTTTGTAAATTAACCGTTATCGGTGGTGGAGTTGACAAAAGACTATGACGATCATTTAACGATAAAATAAACGATGTTGATGATGTTGATGATGAAGAAGAAGAGGAAGGTAATGACGGTTGTGATGGTAGTGCTGGTGACGATGACGATGATGATGAGGATGGTGATGACGATGATGATAATTTCTCTTGTTCTTTATCATATGAGAAATTTGACATTTCTGATAAATAATAATCTTGTCTATCTGACCAAATATCAATTTTATTGTATATATTAGGCGATAATAATAATGAATGTTCATTATCATATTGATGATAGTTTGAAAAACTTGTTGAATAATTCATTAGGTGATGATTTTCAGAAATTGTACAATGTGGTAAGGGTTGTTGTTGTTGCTGTTCTTTTTGGATTGTAAGATTATCGAACCAGTCAATATGAGATGTTGATGATTCAGTTTTTTGCAATGGATCGTCTGTTCTAAGCCAGTTACTGTTGTCATTTAATTTATCTGTGAGATTATTTTGACTGTCATTTGGATTTATTGTTAAGAAATTGTTGTTACTATCATTGTAGAATTGATTTGATGTTATAATATTGTTATTATTTATGCTCTGTTCAGAATACATTTCTTTGTCATGCACGAGTATACTACTATTATTTTCATACTTATCAGGTAATTGAAACTGATGATTATCACTGTCGTTGGTAGCTACTGCAACACTATGAATCTCATGAATCTTTTCATCATATTCAGTTATTCTTTCCTCTTCCAATATATCTTTGTATCTACGTTTAACTCCAAATCTCTCTTCATCAGTAGGCATACAATCGATTTTATTATCTGTCGGTTGATGATTAAAATGATTTGATGCAAAAGAATAGTGAGTGTTAGGTCTGTTAAGTTTATCGGGCGTATTCAACGAGCTATCTGGGAGTTGTTTTACATAATTACATAACTTATTCTCTTTAATGGTTTTAGCTGTCATTTTAGAGCTAATGAGTTGTTGATTTGAGTGTTCTTCACCAGGAAATGCTAGAGAAAATAACAGTTCAGGTTCATAAACAAATCGATAAACATATCTTTCACCAGACACTTTCTGCATTATACCTTTCTCATAATAGTACCTTAACGATCTACTCAGCTTATCATAATTCATAGCTGGACGATTTTTCTGGATACCCCATAAACGAGCAACCTGATTACAGAGAAAATAGAAGAATGCATTATTTCAAACTAAATATACATTTAGACTTCGATAATTATATTGAACAGTAATTAAAATACCTGTGGTTTTGTCGCTAAACTTACACTTTATTTGAAATCTTTCTACAAAGGTCAAAATCATTTGAATGATAATTAGAAATCGTAAAGTTCTGGATGGCTTCCTGATCCTACTTATGGTGATAGAAAAAATATACAAACATTTGTTTTTGGTGCTTATTATTTATGGTCCACTTGTTAAGATATATGCCCAACTTTTGAGGAGATGAGTCAAGGCCCTCTAAAGAACGAACATAATGGATACAAAATCGGAAGCATTCCAAAATATCATTTATTTTAAACTCTAACTCGAAATTCCAGAAGAATCACTCATTGGTAACCAGATTCAATAAATGTTAAGGCTAGAATTATGATGAGTTTTGAAATCTATCTGTCAAATTCATACATCAGTGTGATAGCCTGATGTTTGTCAATTACCCATCAATTAACACTAGACAGTGGGACTGATTATTATAGTATCTACAATATATGACAAGCTATAATCGTTATCTTGAAGTTTCGTTCTCTGAGCTGGATGATTTGGTCGTGAAACTTTCACTATTCTTCTGAACAATATCATCAGCACAAACTTCAAGCAGAAGTGATGTATTCGAATTGCTTCACATACGACTCGTAGCTTGTTCCGTCGATTTCGATCTTAGTTAGTTTTTATCAATCATTAACCTTTCATTATCTGCCTCCATTATTTGATTCTTAATCCTATATTGGTTTGTGATTTTCCTGACTAGTTGATAAATTTGGTTGATTTTTATGTGTTTATTGATTTTTGATTGACATTAGTGCCAAGCTTATAAAAATTCTCTAATGTTCTTAGTATTCCCTCTATTCAAGATTTCAACATTTTTCTAGTGGAATGTATGTAGATAGTTGTCTACATGTTTCGATGTGAGGGAAGATATGTCATGCCGTTTGACTGCCAATCGATTTCACATAGGCAAAGATTAAGGGGGCACCCACTCTTTCCAACGTAGCAACTTTTGCATCATCTTATTTTGTAGATGATGTTTGGTTTTTTTATCGTTTTGTCCTTTGATTTATATAGGATCGATTGAAGTGATTTTAATAGATTGTTCACTAAACCTATTCCAAACAGCTTCATTAACCTCGCTACGATATCTGATCTGTCTTTTATAGATGGGAGAATGATTTGTTAGTTCGTTTCTTTACTAGATTTCTTTTCTGCCGATGAGTTGGATTGTAATTTTTGATAAAGTTGTATGGGTAGCTGTTCTTTTGGAGAATAGTGGTCAGATCTTTTTTTTCAATTCGCTCAAGCCGTATGTGGGCTGCAGTGTTTTCTCATCCTCTTGAATAAAGTTTGCACATATATGATTTTGTGAGTTCTCGGGTTGTTGCTAATAACAATGATAATTTTTTGCATGTGGGTTGGTTTCCGAGATACTTCGGTTTCTAGTTTTCCTACATTGGCTCTGGTGATCTATCCATCCAAAAATGATAGTCTGTACTTTCACTTCTTATTAGTTGCGAATTTCATGTCACTGAAGGTGTTGTTCATAAGATCGTCAGTGTTTTCCAGCATGTTCTTTTTAATGGTGACGAATGTGCAGTCCACATAACGAACTCACATTTTTAGCTTGATCACTGACAGAATAGGGGCTTCTAGTCTCTGCACCACAGCTTCTGCAAAAAGTCCTGATAATAAGGATTCTATTGGTGTTCTCAGACATTTAGATTTTTTGGTCTCTCAGTGAAGCAGAGTTAACAAAGTTCATATTTCAAACAGATTATAAGATTCCGCGAAATTTCAGATTCCTTTTTCTGTGACACGTCAACAACAAACATAAGCATACTCCAATTAATTACTATGTTATGATTTTCTACAACTATCCCTTCCGGACTTTCTGACTAGAAACTATAATTTAAAAGAAAACTCATTTCGTTATTCAATTTGAGAACGTAAGTATTGGATTACCAGTTATTCAATGTGTGTAATGGGATTATGTTGACCGTAAACAGACAGTCAGTCATCATACGACTAACTATAGAAAATAACCCTAATGTTATTGATCATTCTAACGGTGAATTTTCACACTAGAATGTAATAAAACAATTAAAACTACTGTAGGTCACATGTAATTTAACAGCAACACATACATATGGAAAAGATTTGTTATTCTCTCACTATTATCCAGGGTATAGAAATAAGATTTTTATTTCAAAAATGAGGAAATGTTTTGATAAATAGAAAGAAACTTAATGTTAGTATTTTCCTTCTGAACATGTTTAAGCATGAAATCCAATTATAAAATGCATTGTAAAAGTATTTTATTTCGTTTTTTTTTCTACCAAAAGTGAAAGTTCTTCTTGTGTATACTCTTAAAATATTCTTATCAAATTGATGATTCATTGTTTGTACACGTGAACTAACAGTGATAGCAAATTGTCTCGGTGTATATTCTATCACTTTGATAGCACGTACTTTAGATCAGTGTTTAATGTAGTTGATTTAAAATCGTGTATTTTTTTTTTTTTTTCAGTTTTATCTTAAAAGTTAGAGCTAGTGGAACAATGTAAAGTGTACATACTAAATTCCATTTGAACTATTAAACTGTTTAGTAATGAATGGAATTAAATTTATCATTTTGGAATAAAAGATGATTATTTTTAAGAGTAAAATTATATTCTGAACAATATTCATATCTTTTGGTTTATGTGGTAAAGTAATGAACTGGTTAATCAGAGATCAATACAGTACATGAACTCATATTTATCAACTTATAATTCAATTTCTTATTGAAAATAACTTCTGGCACCGAATTGAAAGCATTGTTTCAAACAGATCATTTACATCTAAATATTTTTCTTGGAACATGAAAATTCACATACTTTATTCAATATTAAACTGTGAAAGTGTATTACAAACAAATTCAAACAAAACTTAATATTATCATAATCTTACCTCTTCAGGATCATTCAGTTTAAATTCTAGTGTCCGTCCTGTCCAACATATTAAATGTTGACTGTCTTTATCATCTAACAAAGCAATTAAAAATTGCCACAGTTGTAAAGAACCTCGTCGATGAAGATTAGCTAAAGCTGCTGAAGCAGCTGCCATTAATGCTCCACTACTGCTATTTTCATTATTATTAATATTCGTGAATGGTATTGATGACTTTTCAGTCCATGATTTATCTACTAAGTTACCATTAGAAAAATTTGTCGGATAGGGTTTCGATAACTTTTTCCCATAGATTTTAACTTCACTATGACCATTTACTGATGATAATGGTTCAAATGAATTTGAAAATGTTTGAATTTCAGAATCAGTTGTATAATTTTCTGTACAAGCTTTTGAAAATATTTCATTGTCTGTTGTTGTGAAATTATCCGATGACCATTTAGAAAATGATTCATGATATATGTTACTTGATTTAGAATTGAATGAAAGAAATGAAGGTAAATCAAACCAACTTGAATTCGTTGCACCTAGAATTTAAAAAGAAAATAAATAAAAGTTTACTTTATGGGCAGAGAAATCAATTTTTCTCTTCTAGAAAAATGTTTTTTTCTTCATCAAAAGTCAGAATCTCAGATTAATGTCAGAATTTTCAATCCTCATAAGCACAATAGATTATTTATTCAATATACTACCAAATAATATCGAAAAATTTGTATAACTTAAAGTGTAATGAGAATCTCTGTCTGAGACTCTGAAATACTTTGTTAGTATTCGAAGCCATAGTTTTTAATTAAAGTAAAAAGTGAAACCGTGATCAAATTAATCATTAATACTTGTTGAAAACCGGTTTTTAAATGGTTAAATATAACTTATTGTTAATTTAGTCTATTTGTAACTTGTGATATCGCAGTCGAACTCTTCAATGAGTTATAAGTCAGTAATCCGGAAAATTTCTAGAGACATTACTAGTGTTAGTACTACTTTCTTTCAGTTCAGTAACATAAAGCATGAAACGTTATGTCAAATATTTCATATCATTTATTTTTGTTTACCAAAAATGAGATGTAGCTATCGATTTTATTACATTACTCTTTTCGATAATGATCATTGCTTCATTTATCAATCTACATCATTATTATGTAATGAGTGTAATGTTTGCACTTCTCAGACAATAAACAAACGAAAACATGAATAACACATTCAAAGTAATATTATTAATTCAATTCATTTTAATTGGTTCTGCTTCAAAAAAAAGTTCATTATCGTCCATTTGATCAACTTTGTCGGATTCAGTCAGAAAAAATGTTGTCATATCAGTGAAATACAATTAGAATTCACTCGGATCTGTTGAACAAACTGATCACTTGTGATTTGACTTAACACAACAAAGAAATTATCTAATTAAAATGAGATTTGTATTTACTTAAAAATTACAGATATTAATTTCGTGTATTCAAATTAATACTTGAGTATGAAAAGGTCCATTGAATAAGTAATTCATTCACTGCTTTTATTGAAAAATATTCTTACATATTTTAAGATTATAATATTACTCGGCTTTTAACTTTATTCCCTGTAAATAATTTCAATTTTCTTAAATCAAATCTAAATCACTAAAATCCAACTAATTTACCTTCAGTTAATGCATTCGAGTTTTGGTAACTTCTTTCCGTTACCACAGCTTCTGGATAATCACAAATTTTTGTTGACTGAATTGAATAATCTGTGGTAATCTTTCTTGATTTGTCTCCATTGATATCTAAAGAATGTATTTCACAAATTGACGGATAATTTGCTGTACAACTACATATTTTATGAAACTGAAGTCCATTAACTTCTCTTGTTTGATAATGATTGGAAAAATCGGTTTCATTATTTGAAAGTTGTTCATTTTGTTGTGCTTCACAATAACAAGACCTAAAATTATGAAATATTGAGTAAGTTGAGTTTTGAAAACGATATATATATGTATATATAATTTTACTACTACGTAGAACTCTGTGTACAATAAATAGCTTTATATCTCGAGTGACTCACTGTAACAAAAGACAATTGATAATGTATTTTTCAAACGCTGACTACTTACAATTATTATATCATCAGGCTATCAATAAGCTTTAGATGTTGGATATTTCATTTTCATACTATTTTTTTAAACTTTGATTTAATCTCAAAATTAAATTCATAACAACCCAAATTATGCTAAGCTTTACTCAGTACATTGACCAGTCTGTTTGTGATACTAGCGGTAATAGCAAGAAATTAAGACGACACTAATTTTTAAATATTTTCCCTCAATACTGCACCATATTGCTATTCTTCATTTTATACTTCATTTTCAAAATGGTTTTATATGACATGCTTACAAACATTCGATGTAAATAATTCATTTAACCCCTAACAAGTCATATAATAATAACATGACTCTTTAAATTCAGTCTCATCTAACGATCATGAACAAATGGCGATTTAATTCACGGACTAACTGTAATTTGGAAATTTTCCAAGCACTGAACTCAGAACCAAATGATTGGTGATTATAATGTAGACACTTAGAATTCAAATATACCACCTAGATTACTTTAGAAAATTACTTTCCAAATATAAACATGTTTTGAAAAGTGCTCATTTCTTAAGGTATTCTTGACAGTTTGAAATATCTAAATAAAAGAAGATAATCGTTTAATCGGATCAAATGTAATTATCAATTTGAGTCATTTAGATAATGCGAGAATCGATCACTAGACAATAGCAGTACTGAATAATATATACTATGTTAACTGAGTAGACTAAATAAATACACTGGTCAGTTCCCCTAAATTAATTAAAACCTAAACAGAGTCACATTCCCTAGTCTATTGTGCTAACTGAATCTTGTCAATTGAACCATTGTACGATACAGTTCCAAAATACTGTGAGAATAATAGTTCCCATGAAATTGCAGATACACACTATTGACTGGTGCCAACTGGCATAGAACCTAGGTTCCAGGTGCTCAACCAGTTATCTCCATTGTTATGAAACACCTTACTTTGACGAACACTAGCAACCCATTCAATCAGATTTCATCTGATTATGTTATTTATGGAGAAAAATTTGTACATTTCTTGACTGGACTGTCCCTATTTCGATGCTTCATATTTAGCACAATTTTCAAGTTTAATTAGTTAAGTGAGTATCTTTTTTTAGAATGAATAATCCACTAGTTAGTTGTGATAAATGAAATCTAACTGATTGATATAAGCATACATACATTTTTTTTAAATCATTTATTCAAAGTGATAAGTTGGTTAGTATGAGATCTA